AAAAATGAAGGAGATGGGAGGATAGAGCTCGAAATTGAAGGGTTCCAGTAGTGAGAAGGGATGCTTGTTCTCTCTGGATGTGGGGATTTGCTGGGTAGGCGATGCCCTCTTTTATAGGCGCTAAAAGCTCTTCCTTCCCAAGAAACCCTAGTTGGTTCTTCCCAAATCTGCCAAGTCTCCCCCTCTATTCCTCTTCTCTTCCTTCAATTCATCCCCATTTTGTGAAATCCACCTAATCCAAACACACATAGACAAGATTTTTTGGAGCTCTAGAGTATTCCCATAGCTGTCCCTGTGGCAATCTCTTATCTCTGGCAATACTCTCTCCTTCTTTCCTCCCTTATTTTATGGCAAGAGTTGGTAAGGGAAAGAAAATGTGTTGGTTTGAAAGGTGTTTTACTCCTAGCAGCCTGCACACGCAAATATCCTTCAGTTTTATAGATGGTCTGTCTTGGATTTGGCTTTGGCCATGTGATGGAGGCCTTTTGAGATATTTTTTTTAAAGTTTTTGGGCCACTTCCTAAGGTGATGGGCTAATTTACTAAGGCGATGACCTAATTTACTAAGTTGTTGGGCCACTTCCTAAGGTGATGAGCTAATTTACTAAGGTAATAGGCCAATTTACTAAGGTAATGAGCCATTTTTCTCTATTTCATGCTTACCAATATATTTGGGCTCAAGAAATGGGCTCGAGTTTTGGGGCTCCCAAGCAACCCAAAACTTCCACTTCTTAGCCCATTAATGGGCCTCATGAATGCTCGTAATCATCCATACCACAACCCACTCAGTAAGCTCTTGACATTTGTGTGGCTTGAGCCCACTTAAGCTTATAGCGTGACTAGGTGCAAGATAAAGGTTTTCCGTTTGGCATTGCATGTTGTTTAACATGCTTGTGCCTGAATTTTGCCATATTGTAAAGGGCTATGACCGGGCCAAAATGATGATTGACGGAATAATAAACATGGGTTCATAGAGCCGGTACATTTTATAGGCTTGTTATGACTTTTTTGGCATGGCAGGTTACATATTTGCTTGGCATGACACGTGGACGTTAACTCATGCAAGCTCGTACGACCAACTCTAGCATGCCCAAATCGTGTTTCCTCTTAGTAAGGTATCGTAATGGGCCGAGAATATATTTGGGCCCAATCTTAGATTTTTTGGGCCTCAACAACATTTAAATAGAAAATGACTAAACTAATATTCAGATTTAAAAGATTAAAACTTTAAAAGAAAATTATTATTTTATTTATAAAAAAAAACATTTAACTTTAAAATATATTATTAACAAAAATAGACTTAAATTTAAGGTATAAATATAATAATATTATGACTAAAACATAAATAATTTAATAAATGGGCTTAAACTGGGATGGCAGGTTGGGTTTCAGGCTGGCACGGTTCCTAATGGGTCTCTAGTTGACCTGGCCCATTTGGCTGAATTACCTTGTCCCAACTCGTCTAAAGATATGAGTCATGCTGTGTTAGGCCTTACTTAATTGGGTCAAACCTGTGTTGTGCTCTAGTCGGCTCGATTTGGTTGACACCTCTATCCATTGTCAAAGAAAAGTTTCCGACATTAATATTAAAAAATTATCAAATAATTACTCTTCAATATTTACTGAATAAGAAACTGTGCAAAGTCTAATATCTTAGCCTAATTTCCACTAGTTCCAATCCTTCTCCACTTATAAAGAAAGCATTACCAATTGTATTTGTGCTCAAAACTGGATGACCAATAGTGGGCCCAAACTCAAAGATGTGATCTGCCTTCGATAAGGGTTTCCCTTCGACAGGTAAAAAGGCTATTTGCAAGGAGAAAATGAAAAGAGCAGGCCAGACTTAAGGCATTGGTGTGGTACCGATCGGAAGCCCTTCGATGCTAAAGTTAGTTGAAGGAGTGAATGGTTAATTACTGACAAAGTGAGTGCATAAATGTCAAGTTGCAATTACCTTTTACCCTGGGGACAATGGACCTTATTTATAGAGGTCTGGGGGTGTTTACTTGGTGCAAACTTTTGATGTGGGACTAGTGGGGATAGCCTGGGAGACTGCCACGTGTCCTAACGAATACACTAGTGAGGAACTTGAGAAACTCCTGCAAGATACCTTCCGAGAGGCTAGATCATCATGGGGTGCTGAAGGCACCTGCCAACCATCAAGTGCGAATGTGTGCGACTAGGCTTGCTAGTACGGAATTGGTAGTGGATGCCGAGGGCACCTGCCGATTACGAGGCTAGGCTGGCCAACATGGACTCCTGGTCCCCGTTTGGTGTCATGTTCTTTCCACATGTCATGGGATGAGAGGCCAATCATATATGGTACAAACAAATTGAATTGAACCCATCAAAGACATTAGAGCCATATGTGAGAATGGGTATGAGAATTTCTTATTCAAGTTTTCCTGTAATGATAAATTGAAATGAATACATAACAAACAAAAAAAATTGAGAAATAAAAACACCATTAATAAGAAAACAAATTAAATAAAGAAAAGTAACCTGAATTATCATCCACAAAGCATAGGATTCACATCTACACAAAGATTGCATGAATCCCAACAAAATACTCCCAAAAAATTTGTGTGGTATTGATGCCTCATGGTTGTTTTGTTGGCCATGATTATGGAGAAAATTAACATGTGTATACCAAATGTTAATATTTATGCCTTTGTAGAAGCTGAAAAGCATAGTCACTCCTACCCCTATAATTATTCTCACAACTTTAGCTTTCGCTATATTAGTTTGTATGGGCAACTTCTTTATCCCTAAATATAAAAGTAATAAGTTAAACACAGTCAAAATAAGGAGTCTTCCAAGGACATTACCTTAAAAGTACGGCCAGCATGAAGGTCCCTGTTGGGACAAGATTTAACATGACCACTACATTTGTTGCTGATGTTAAGGCTAGGCTCTCAATGTATAAATTTTGTGATAGTGGTCCCTAAAATAAATATTTTGTACTTAATAATTGCACCAAATTACCTCGTCCCGACCCACCCAAAAATACTGGTCATGTTATATTGGGCCTTATTTAATCAGGTTGAACTCTTCTCGTGCTCGAGCCAACTCGGTCCGTTTGACACCTCTATCTACTGTCAAACAAAGTTTCCGATATTAATATTAAAAATTATCAAAGAGCTAGTCTTCAATATTTACTGAATAAGAAACTCTGAGAAGTCTAATATCCTAGCCCAACTTCCACTAGTTCCAATCCCTCTCCACACATAAAGAAAATGTCAAACGAATTGAATCCATCAGGGACATTAGAGCCGTAGTTGAGAAAAAGGTACGAGAATTTCTTATTCAAGTTATCCTGCAATGATAAATTGAAATAAATACATAACGAACAAAAAAATTTGAGAAATAAAAACACCATTAATAAGAAAAAAAATGAAATAAAGAAAAGTAACTTGAACTATCAACCACAAAGCATAGGATACACAGCTGCTCAAGAGATTAGCATTTTGACAAAAAAAATAATTGACAAAATTGCATTTTTTTTTTTTTTTTTTTTTTTTTTTTTTTTTGGTGATTGATGCCTCATGGTTGTTGTGCTGGCCATGATTATGGAGAAGATTAACACGTGTAGACCAAATGTTAATCTATATGCCTTTGAAGAAGCTAAAAATCATAGCCCCTCCTACACCTATAATTATTCCAACAACTTTAGCTTTCCTTACATTAGTTTGTATGGACAAGTTCTCCATCATTAAATAAAATTAATAAGTTAAACACAATCAAAATGACTAGTCTTGAAAGGAAATTACCAAAAAGTATAGCCAAAATAAAGGTCATCGTTAGGATAAGATTTAACATGGCCATTGTATATGTTGCTAATGTTAAGACTAGGCTCTCAATATATAAATTTTGAGATAATGGTCCCTAAAATAAATATTTTGTGCTTAATAATTATTGAAGATATGATTTCCTCAAGAAGTACTTGTAAATTGGTAAAGCATTAATTAACTTTGACAACATGATTGGTTAAAAAATATTTTGTCGTGTAGACATTTGTATTAGAGATTTCAAACGGACTAGGCTGGGCTAGGCCCATCCATTTGGGCTTTGTATTGCATTTTTTTTACAATTTCATTTCAGTCTTTGTCAATTATGTATATACTAACAAGATTTATTATTTGTTAGAAAAAGATACCAATGACTTTATTTGAAGTACATATAAATACAAAAGAGTTACACTATTGTTTAGGTTAAAAAATTATAGACTATTGTTCAAATTTAAAAAAATAAAACTTTAAAAATAAAATCATTATTTTATTTATATATAAAATATTGAATTTTTAAAAATATTATTAGAGAAAAAATAGACTTGAATTTAAGATATAAATACAATAATATTATGTATCATTTTTCACTATAACAAATAGAATTTAATAGAATTTTCAATCAATGTCATTGTGTAGTTACGTGGATAGGATATGTAGTAGTATGATTGGATTAGTTTAATTAAACCGTATTGCTTGGTAATCAAATGTGAACAAGGGATTCTCTCTCTCTAGCTAGGAGAGACACAGGCTATGGTTAGGGTTTGGTCTATGCACTGTCACCTTCTCTTTAGTTTCGTCCACCTTCCTTAGTTAGTCTCTCTGCCCTCATGCCTTCGACCTCGCCGTCCAGTTTCATCATTCTTGTTGCCTTCATCACTTCCTTTCGCTCACTCTCTCTACAACAACGCCCTCGACTTCACCTTTCTGCTTACGTCGTCGTCTCGTGCCCTCGTCTTCGTGCGTCATCGTCGACCCTCTTCCTCAACCTTCTTTGCATATCGAGTGGTGGATTTTAGGGTTTTTGCGACCTATTTTCTCTTCAAGGGTTTAAGCCGCTACTATGTCCTCCCTGGTTATTGCTCCTGATGAAACTGTTGATGGGATTAAACTCTTTTTTGGAAGTCGTCTGGTTCTTACGTGATGCGAACTCATTGGTGTGGTCATTGGGTCCTCTAATGTCTCTAATCGCTTTATTGGTTTTATCTTTAGTCTCATGGCCCAAGTTCTTTCAAATCAACCTATCAACCGAAGTGTTTTTAATTCATCTAGCCTCAAGTGCAAAAGCTCTATGAAAGCTTCCATTGATAGTGAGGTTTTGACTTATGAAGTGGATGTAGTGGCTCATAAACGTTTGTGCAGTGGTACCCGTGCTGTTCTACCTATGGAGACTGGTCTCTTAGGGTCTCCTAGGGACCTCTCTTAAGCTGTTCAGAGAAGCATTCTTCGACTTGGCATCCTGCGAATGCACTGCTGCCTGATATCTACTTCAGGTTAAGTACCCTAGGCTAGGTTTGTCTTCTTGTTGCATGTTCTCCCTCTGTGATCTCCTTCCCAGCATACCGGTGCGACTTCGACTGCCTTATGAGCTATGTTTTCATATGAGGTTTCCTTTGTCAGTGTGAAGAAGTTTGGGTGTTTTTTTTTGGTTTTCTTTTTTTTAGCGTGCTCATTGTGTTATGTTCGATGTCTTGTTCTCTAGTGTCTCTGTCTACCTCAGATCCTTGGTCAAGATACTTTACCTATGCAGCTGTACGAAGGACTATGGCTCTATCGTAGGTTTCTTTCGGCAGTTGGATGGTGTTACTGTGCTTTTGGAGTGGGTTTTTCTGTTTTTTGTTTAGTAAGTGGTCCAGTGTGACCTGATTTAGATTCTCTTGTTAGTCATTGACATGCGTGGTACCATTTCTTCGCCTGGGTTTTCCTACGAAGGTTTTAATAAGGCCGATGTTTCATGTCATTATATGTACTTTCTTGATATGTACGAAGGTTTTAATAAGGCCGCTGTTTCGGCCCAATTAAGTAACAGGTTGGTTAGTTGGGTTTCGGTTTAATTGGACCATGTCAGACCTTACTTAATCGGGCTGCACTTGTGCCATGTTAGGGCGGGCCTGATCTATTTGACACCTTTACTTGTAGCCCAAATTGACGTGCATCCAACTAAATTGAAAAGAAAGCTAACACCAACTTCCATTCCTTTCCTCCAACATTCCAATCATGGACTGCCCATATTAATTTCAACATTCCATCTATAGATAGAGATGAAAGATATTCAAAATGGCCCTAATGACAAGTTTGTATACATCAACAAATTACACATCTCACCATTGGAGCAAAAATTTGATTTACATCCCAATTTTACATCTCCTCATTAGAGATGCTATAGTAGTTCATCTTTTCTCAATATTGAAAGACATCTCCTTACATGATTTTTATAAGTAATTGGGCTCAATCATTATAAAAAAAAATATTGGGCTAAATTGTAAATCATAAAATAGTTGAGACATTTGTAAACCCTGGAAAAAGAAATACCCCTAAAATCGCACTCCATAGTTGATTAATTTAGGGTTCATTTGGAATAACTTCTTTAGGAAGTATTTTATTCATAAATGCCTTCTAGCACAAGCACTTTGTTATAAAAATGTATAAAGTTTAATAAAAAAATCGAGAGTACTTCCTGAAGAAGAATACAACAAGTGATTATCCAGAACACACTTATAAACTTTTCTGCTAAATATTGTTAGAAGTGCTTTTGCTTTTCATCAAATGCTTTTCATCCTTTCTAAAGCACTCCCAATAAGCCTCGAGTTCCAGTTTAAGTGAAAACAATCCAAAACTAGATCGAACCCACACGGCTTAAAACTCCCAAAAATCTTTAAATATAGAGACCCTTAAAATATTTCTTGCAACTTATTGTCAAAAGGGGTTTGATACTAGAGATAGTTGATATCATCCAAACGCTCATGCGTTGCCCGATATATATTAACGGACCCCACCGATTCTCATCCACTTGTTCTCCACTTACCCCTTCGGAGTTGGCCACAATTCAACAGATTATTGGTGACGCTACCAGCAAACTCTAGCAGCACCCAATCAAAAGCGCACACGAAGTCTAGTCTTCCTGCACCCAACCATACCTGATCTCCTCCCTCACTCTCTCCCCCAACCTCTCTCTCTCTCATTATTCATTTCTGGAAGATCTGCAACTCACAAATCTGTCTATAGAAAACTCTGCGTTTTGCTGTCTCTCGAAAAAACCATGAGCGACCCAATTGAGCCCTCAACGTCGTCGTCTTCCACCAAAGACCCGGCCCTTCTGATTCACCCGAGGCGCGAGCCATTCGAGCACGGGCTTTTGCCCATCCCCAAGCTCATCTTCACCGACCCGACGCAAACCCTAATTCCCCTGAAGCAGAAGCTGATCGAGCAGTCTTCGAGTCACCGGGTCAACTCGGCCGCGATCTCCGAGGTGCTTCAGATCTCCATTGATCATGCCAGGCTCGTCCTCGATACCCTTGCCTCTGTTCTTCATTCGGAGTCCGACCCGCTCCTCAAATCCAAGCCGGACGTGGTTGATGAGGTCGGCGCCGATGTGAATGATCTGGTTCTGTTCCTCTACATTCAGTCGTACAAGAAGTTGCTGCCGAGGACGCACAAGGACTCGGCTGCCGTCGCAGATGTTTGGCCTTCGACCTCGGCTTTCGATGGGTATTTGTCCGCTTTATCGCCATTGCAGGTGATAAGTCGTTCCTGAATTAATATTTTTTCTTTTTGTTTTTTGGTGGTCCATTGTGCAAGCAATGCTGGTGTTATTTTAGATTACAGTAGTGAATTTGGGACGGCATGATAAGTTTGGGGCAAATTGAAATGGGTTTGCCGCGATTCATTGCTTACTTCGGTCGTTGGTTTTGGAATTTTTATAAAATTTGATTAGTTACATACTACAGGTTGGTTTCTTTGAAGTGGGGTTGTAGCCTTGTGAATTGGGTTTATTCAGATCAATTGGTTAACTTTGTATGTGTTTATTTGTTGGTGTGAAAATATTGTTTGGATGGAATACAATGTGGATTAGAATGAGGGTTTTTATTTGAATTTGGTATGATCTCTTGGTTTATGTAACCTTTTTGCTCATATTAGTTTATCTTATATTAATTTTCATGGGAGCTGGTTGAACTTATGATCGATTGTGTGCATAGGGTCGGTGTTTTAAATAGTGGATCGAGCTTCATAGCGTCGCAGAAATTTTTCTGACATAGCAGACTATCATCGTGAAAGTATCAAATGGCTGTCGCTATATGACCGTCACTTTAAGAAAACCAACTCTGAACCTCAAATTTACCAAATAATTGACACAAATCCATAAAATTGAATGCCATACTTTGATGTTTCGAGTCAATAGATGTTGCTTCTTCTCTGTGTTGTGACTTGGGGTACTACTTGAACAGGATTTTCAGCAAACACGTGTTTATTCATCTTTTATTTATTTATTATTATTTAAATTTTCTGTTTTGTGGTTGTATGTTTTGGACAATTTCATAAATTGAATCTTTAGTAATTTCATAAGTTCTTATGTATATTCTGTAATTTATTCGAATCAGTTTGTTTATATTCAATTATTCAATTGAAGTTGTTTATTTGTAATTTAGAGGAGAATGTTGATAATGTGACATTTTATTGCTTAACTGGAATGATATTTTGGGTGGCTTTTTTATTGTCTATATTATTATTTTAGCTATAATTTTTCTAGTCCCAAATAGGTTGTGTGACAACGCATCAATGCTTACATAATTTGCGGCCCAATATGCGATCACGATTATAAAAAAAAAAACCTAAGGAACTCACATGGGTTGCAACAATTTGTTGCCTTTTTTTCTATGTCTACTGGATTGAGCAGAACTTAAAAGTAAGATTGCAAGCACCGAATATCGTGCTGTAGAGCGGACCTCCTAGTTCTATCATGTAGGATGTGCATATTTGGATTCCTTCAGCATGGCAGTGGTACATTGTAGCTGCCTTTGTTTCATTAGTTTTATGTACTCGTAATGTTTCATAATGCAACTTATGTGGTTGATTCTAAACTGTTAGAACAAGGTTTTGTTGAGTTAGTTTCATTCAGATGAATTCCTGTAGTATATAGTACAACATTTTTTTATATCCAGATACTATATAATTCATTACTGTCTTTGTACTGAAATTGTTCTTTTCTCATATTTAGTTTCTTGTTACTGTCATTTGAGACAATTTCTTTGTGTTGAATTAAACTTATATCAACCTTGGAATGTGAACACATGGCAGCTTGTGCGTAGCAATAGCCGTCGGTTTGTGCCATCACAGGCTGATGAAGAGGCCCATCAGTTGTCATATCTGCAAAAGCATTTGGCCAACATTGTCTCTCTTTTAGCAGAACCTGTGGAGGGGGAAGGCGAAGAATCTCTGGTTTGTGGAATTAATACTTGGTTTCTTTCTTTGAATTAAATTTTCACCTTTGTTATTCTGGCTACCACAAAGTGAATCATACACATTAGAAGTAATGGTAACCTTTCTCTTTCCTTTTGCCTGATAGTCCTTTTGTCCAATTTGATAGAAAAAGTTTCTTCCCACTGTGAGCACCACCCCATCCTTTAATTCATGTTTAGGTGTGTCATGACTCAAGAGTTCAACACCAATTATAGCCTCATATGCATTTGTGTTTGTGGAAAGTAATTTCTCCATGCTAAGTCTTGAGGCATGAACCTTACATTCCCCTTTCATGCTATGTACTGAACATTGGTTATCATTCATCTCACCTAAGGCAAAATAGGACATATTTAAGGTTAATGAAAATTGAAATGTAATTTAGTTAATCCAATACATGGTTAAGATATTGCTGCCACTTACAGTCACAAAAAAAAAGGAGATACATTTCCTTTTCTCGTATGCGACTCTCAATCATTTCAATATAATTTCATATATGAGTTCTATTGTTATTAGCATTATGGAATATTATAATTGTCCTTTCTTGTTACTATCTGCCAAGCCTACTTGTAAATTATCTGATTTAACCCTATGGTTTTAGGTTTTGACCATGGAGAAATTTGAGCACCTTGGCTTCTGTTTTACTTTGGTGATAAAGGATCTGAAGGATATCACTTGGGCCAATATGCCCCTTTTTTTGCAAATTCGGATCCTGATATGCCTGCTGTTCCTGTTCCTGCTGCACAAGTTCATGATTGGGTTCTGCAGAATATAGTTTCTTCGTTGGAAAATATTTCTGAAAGAATTTCTCCAAAAGAAAATGGCCCACCCAGTTCCTCAGATCAAGATGTTCCCATGGCTGATGCCTGCACGAGTACAAACAAGGGCTCAATAAGTGTTAGAGGTCCCAGTTTTATTGAAGGGATCTCCAAGTCATCACTTATAAAGCAAGCATCTGATCTTAAGGCTCTTCTGTAAAGGTTTGTTTATAAGGCATATTATACCTTTTCTTTTAATTAATACATAAGATGTAATGTCCATTTGTTTTCCAATGTCTACATTTAGGCGATATTTTGTATTTAAACGCTTATCAAGAACTGCAGAACCAGAAGGAATAAAATGGAGAAAATAACTCTTTTTTTCCTAACAAGAAAACTCACCTCATTTTTAGGTGAAAATTCTATTTGTTATGTCAAACGATTATCAAGGTATGAGTTGTATGTAATGATTGCATGTTGCATGTCTCCATGGGGATTCATTCTTGGTCACTCATGGTTTTGGGCTGTGCTAATGCCCATGCTATGCTTCTGTGTGTGATGGATATAGAAGCTTGAAAGGTTTTGCCAATGTTATGCTTGCAAATTTTTGTTTTCAAATTGAATAACTTATTTGGAATTATTTTAGATGCATTTGCTTCACCTTTCTTCAAGTCTGTTGTGTATAGAGAGGTAGCTTCTCTTACAAGTTGATCCTAATCTTAATTATAAGGCTCGGTGAAATGATTTTGAGCCTCATTGTAGCATATTGGAGGGAAGCTAATGCACTTTTGTAATGACAGCATTCTTGTTATGATTTTCTCAATATGTTCTCCTTCATGATGTGTGCAAAAATTGTGAACTGAGATTGTAATAGGTTCATCGGCTTGCAATTTTTTATTTATGAAATTTATCGGTTTGCTATTAATTTGTTTACAATTGCAGGTTTTAAATTGCCACGATTCAGTTATCTACATATTAGCACCTCTGAGATATGCCACAGTTTATGGATGCTCCGATGCTACTATTGTTCTTGGAGCTGTTGGAAAGGTAACACCAAAGGGATTTGTGTTTGTGCTTTGAATTATTGACTGTTGCAATGGTTCTATTGCTGGAAAATCATCTAAGTTTTCTTTTTAAGCCCTTACCTATCTCTCTAATGACTTATTACCTGGTAATTACTGTTTTGTATGCAATGGGTGTGGGTCCTTTTGACACCTGTTGACTTGAATATTATATCTTAGACGATCTAATGTTTCTTACAGGCTGTAAGAATTGAACACTGTGAGCGAGTTCATGTGATTACAGCAGCAAAACGTATCTGCATTGCTAACTGCCGCGAATGCATGTTTTTTCTTGGGGTAAACCAGAGACCACTTATTGTTGGTGATAACCATAAGTTACAGGTGAGTTTTCATGCCTTAAAGGTGATGCGCAATTGTGTTACTAGCTGGTTCTAAGGCTTTTGCAGTATAATTTATATTTGATTGAGTTTCCCCAGGTACTGTTATGCTTTATCTTCTGCAACTGATCTTAATGCGGATTTTTTGGTTAATTGTTGAACCTATTTGATTGTTTGTAAAACTACCGTCGCCATGTAATTTCTTTTCTGTGATCCCATATATCCTACTGTATGCAACATATTTAATATGTTTCATTGACATGTTATTGGTCACTATGCTTGTTTTAGTGAGATTGATATCATCAGCAGTGCCCCATAAGACTTATTTTCATTCTACATTCGATAGCATGCCACCAAATCTAATATTTCTTCTTGACATCTGTGTAACACTGGAGCATCGAAGGATTTCCTGGAATTTTTTAATATAAAATTTGTCAATATTAATTGAAATGTCACAGCCCTATGTGCGAAGTTAGAGTGAACATACTACACACAAACCCTCTTAGCCCGATCTTTGTAACTGATCTTTGCTGAAAGTCTTGTACACATTTAGTTGTTTTGGTTTAATTCTGAAAAATGGTCCTGTTTGCATTGGTTTCTTTTGCTATGTTAAACCTTTGACTTCAAATCGAATACAATATGACTCTAAGAGTAACAAAATTGATAATCTTTACTGTTACCTATCATTAAATTCGTGATCATATGACGTATTATATTACATTGTGATGATAGTTTTCTGTGTTTTATTCTTCAAGTTCTAATAAAGAAGATTTTTGTTTTTACCTCCTGCTTTTTATCAGGTGGCACCCTACAATACATTTTACGGTCAGTTGGAGGAGCACATGAATGAAGTTGGGATTGATGCTACTATCAACAGATGGAATGAACCCCTGGCACTTGGAGTGGTTGATCCACATGATTCGTTATCTCATCCAGCAGGTGTCTCTGATGCTCAAGCTGAGTCTGGTTCACACTTAGACCCTGAGCAGTTCACAAATTTTTTGGTAAATTTTTTAATTTTTACTATAGGCTGTTTATTTGTAGATTTGAATAGTGTATTAAAAGTTGTCCTTAGTTCTTGGAAATAATAGTTTTTCATAATTAAACTGAACAAAACCTTGGAAAGGCTCTACCAACAATCTCTATAGTTGCAGTCGTGTTCTTTTGGGCAATCACGCTTGTATTTTCTAATTATTCTTTTCGGGTGGTTGGGAGGAGGGTTGAGATGGTCTTGTAGTTGCTATAGAGTCATTCAATTTCTTTCTGAATTTTCTACTCACATCCTATATGCTTCCTTGATGTACAGATTCCAAACTGGTATGGAGGTGAATCAGAGGGCTCCACAAAAGACAACCCATTTCCATTACCAGATATTTATGTGGCATCCCAGCAGAGAAATGTATGTTCACTACAGCTGAGTAACTGACATTAATTTTTATTTTATTTTAACCAAGAATTTCCTGATATTTGTGAGGTCATGTTTTTATCTTTTCATTGTTTTATGTTTTTCTCCAGCAGAACAATTTAGGGGAGGTAAAGCAATTATTGAGGGAAGCACCTCTCGAAGAAAACAGAAAACGGGAATTATCCACTGCTCTCCACGTATATTTTAAAGATTGGTTGTATGGTAATGATCATTTTTATATAGTTTCGTCAAGCTGACACACACGTGCTCTATATAGTATTTGTTTGGAACATCATCTGCGCGCTATTTTGCACAGCAAAGTAAATTAACATATCTTACACTTTGATCTCTCTCAAGAACTGCTTTGTTGTCAGCATTTCAAGCGCCATTTGCACCTAATAAATCTGGCAAAACAAGAAATCTTATGGAATTTAGTTTTCTTCTATCCCTTTTTATGTGGCTTTACTTAAACTATCACTTGATCCGTCTAGACTTAGAAGTGTGTTTATATGCATCCCATCTAATATAATTTCATGAGCTTTTCTGTTATGAAGATGGGTACAATGTGGTTTGACAAGCTTATTTAATGCCTGTGACAGCTTCTGGAAATATCCGTCAGCTTATTGCCTTCAAGGAGAATGATTTTTGCGTCATAATGCTGTGGAACAACCAAGAGTGGCATAGAAAGAAGCTTTCTGGTTTTATCTTTCAATCCTACCATGGCCACCTTGCTGTTTCTGATGGTGCCACAGGGCGAATCAACCCTTTGTACTTTGGAATGGTACCCTGCATAATTATGCATTGATACGGTGCACAGGATGGAATCGGAATAACATTCGCTAATCTCCCATTGTAATATTTTTTTTTGGAAAGAATAATCTTACTGTAATATTTTGTTAACCTAGGTTCACAGCCTTGTGAATTTTCCTTTTTTATTTTTCATGTGGGTCTAGAATGTTGGATCTCTACTCTAACCTTAAGTTTTGTTTCTTTGTTGCGAGGTTTCGTTTTTAGATTATGTTGCTAGAGTGACTTAGTTCTTTATATCATTTTTTATATATATAAAAATGGAACGTGATCCTGCGGTGTTGTAGACAGTCTTCATGATCTTATTGGTGCGGAACTTGAATAAGGTAGCAAAACTTGTTGAATAAGCATAACGATTTCTCTTGATCTGAACCTTATATACATTGGTCTTTGAATCTGTAGTAATGAGATTTCACTGAACAGAAATAAAGTTACTTTTATTTGGATTTCATTTTTTACTAGATAAATGAGAGTTCAAATTAATCAATTTTTCCGGTGAGTTTCCACCAAATTTACACTGAAAAATGTACAGCCTTTATGCATCGATACAAGCTATGGTCCCTTGGATGTTGTGTTGCAGATGCCTGAAAAATCTCCACCTACTCAAATCACTTGATGGGGTTGGAGAGAACTGCAAAACTTTCTGATATATGTAAGCATCTTGTGGAGGCTAGGTGGTTTGGAAAATTTGGAGTATCTTCTCGGCTTGATCGGGGAAGAAAGTGATGAATAAGTATGCACCTGGCATTTGATCAAGTAGAAGAAACAAGTAAATCTCATCTCAAGGACCAACACAACAGCACAAGTGTTCAAAAGGGTGTACAGAACAAAAGAACTTACAGATTAGTACTGTTCCAAGTACAGCTGAAATCTTCCCTTGAACGGTGACTAAACCGGCTTTGCCGGCATTTTGCAACTCCGTGGAACCAACAGAATCAAATGCTCCTGGTATAGGAAAGAGAAGCCATAGCATCTGTTAACTTCACATAGAAGATAATCCAGAGAGAGCAAAAGCATTAGGATCAAAATCCTGATTACCTGGTTTTACGGTTTGAAGTCCTGATGTTATACATGCTATGTTTTCGAACCCGGCTTGCTCCAACTTATTGGCAGCAGCAGTAGACCTTGACATTAGAAAGAAACAGAATAATCCTATCAAAATAGTTTAGAATGGGCAAAACCTTTGCCTCAATGCCTCAGTGACGAGAAGAACTTCTATGCAACGGGAATGCCATTGTGACGATATCCCAAGCCAATCAAGCACTGTCACGTGCTTAACTTTCTCTGTATACAGCCACAATGCATGATTGGCTCGGAATACAGCCACAGTGCATCCCTAGAGCAGGTACGATTCTCTTAGTGATAGATACATTTACAAATATATTAAGCCAAAACTTAGCAGCAAGCATACATAAAAAAACTAACCTCAATCCTTCCTGGCACACCAGTAACAGTTTACTTTGAGGTGAAAACTGGGATTTAACAGATTGTACAAATTCAGGGTTGGGTTTAGTGAAAGACAACCCATAGAACAGACCAGAAAAGTTGTTGTGGAGAGTCCTCTTTATGATTGTGCCTGCCCATTACATCTGAATCATTAGCAAGAACAAAATCCCATGTTGTTTTGTGGGGTTCCAAAAAAAAACCATTGTATGTTCAGTTGAAGAAAATAGAAAGAAACAAAAAATCCCTCAATTACCGGGGTCATTGTCTTCGTTTGCAATGAAAAGAGGGACATGATGGCATGATTTGATATGAGCTCGTTCAAATTGAGATTTGTCCCGAACATCAACAACTGTGTATCCATCAACTGCAATAAGTTCTTTTGCTTCTTCTGCAGTCACAAAATTCACTTTTGCTCTATGGCCAAAGTTCGACGACGGTATGATGTCCCTAAGATGGTTCTTCCACCATGAGTTTGACTCTCAAATTTCAACCAAGATGTGCGGAAATTGCTGCAAAAGAAGGATTATAAAATAAAATAAAGAAATAAACATTATCTGGCTCAGCAGTTGAATGCTTCTCTGTAGCTCATAATGCTTGAAAAGAAGAGAGAGATGAGTTTTATTCTGTTTTTAGTTTTCTACACTTTCTCAGCAACCAAACAAGAAAACCCAACACCGAGAATTTGAGAAGTGTTGAGACAGTTGAGCTAGTCTTACTAAAAAGGAAGTTGAAGAAGTGAAGAATTGTTGTACATAAAACAAGACAGGCAATGCTTTACCTTGTGGAAGAGAGAGTTGAACAACAAGAGCCAATCCCTGCCAAGGCTGCCATCGTTGTGGTTCCCTGGAAGCTAGAAGAAGCCTTGTGTCTCTCTCTCTCTGTCTCTTCCGCTCACTGTCCACTAAATGAAAAAACATCCCAGAATGGCCCAAGAAATTGGGGAGGGCAATGGGTGTGGTGCCACGTGGCAACTGGTTTCGGATATTAGATATGTTGCACCGAATCTTTTTGCAGGTTCTTTTTATTAGAGAAATTTATACAACTCTCAATAACTGATCTCATGACGTGATTTTTTCAAATTCACCAAATCAGATTGGTCGGAAATAAACCAGTTTGAATTCGGTTTTAAGAGTCTTGGACTGGCAATTCTCCAAATCAGAAATTTTTTTCAAATTTGAATTTATTTTTTACACGCGGAATTGTTTCATTAGTTACCCTTAAATATTAAAGTGAACCAAACCACACTCATTGGTTTCTCTTTAATCAAACTGAAACGAACCGATTCTTCTTCTTCCAACATTTAAAAAAGAAGTACCACTATACTTAGTTGGTAAGCCTTAATCCATTATCACAATAGAGAGTGAGAGCAAGAAGCTAAAGAAATATTTTTGTAAAACTGTTTTTATCATGTGACACATATTAATTACATAATAAATAGTCCTATTTTCTTGAATTTATGTGTTTTTATTACTAACGATAATTTAAATTATAAAAAAAAGAATTAAATTCAAGTCTAAAGAACAGACAAGTTGTCTTAGCAACTGAGATTTTTTCTTTCTTGAATTTGATAGGCAGTATGTAAGGAGCGTTTGGGTTAAGGATCAACTCTTAAATAGAAAATGTTTCAACTCATGGTAATATTGGATATTCTTTTTATTATTAATTTTCTTTTTTAATAAATTCCTTACATTACTTTTACCTTTCCCATTTTATACGAAACAAAGAAGTGTATTTTCTGTTGATAAGTCAAGAAGATTGACTAATAACAATGGAGAAGACCAGTAGAAACAAAGTCATTGACAATACCTACATACAGGGTCTCTTCATTTTATAACGAAGGAGGATGATGTATATAAAACTCAAACTTGATGTATAAATTGTAGAGAGATCGAAGGGAGAGAGAGAGAGAGAGAGGATGGGATTTTTATCATCAATCTGTTGCTGCCTTCATGGTGCTCGTGTATTCAACCAAGGATCAGCAGCTGCCACAGCCCCAGAGAGGCAGCCTCTGACTTTGAGTCCTAATTTTGTTCAAACTGAAGCTCCAGTGCCGATTCTGGTTCCACACTTTCCTGTCAACTCCAAGCTCTATCATATGTAGAGAGATTATGTACTCTTCTTGTTGAGAAGAGGAAACTTTTTTTTTTCTTTTTTTTTTTTTTTTTTTTTTTTTTTTGTGGGTGTTTTTGTTTTAGTCTTTTTTTCATCTGTTTATTTTCAGTTTTTTGGGACAACAAAGTTTGCACTCTAATGTAAACTTGTCATATCTTATTAACGTAAACTTTTGTATATGAGGTTATGTACAAGGCAATAAGATCGATGGGAATTGGTGCTGTTGTCAGAAATGACAAAGGGAAGTGATGGCGGCTATGGCCCTTCCTCTTGCCAGTGCCACCTCATCTAAACATGCAGAGATTATGGCGCTTCTTTTCGGGATGAAATTTGCTCGGGATGCTGGCTTTTCTTCTATTTTAATTGAGTCTGATTTACAAGGGGTGATAATTGATGTAAGGAAGGATGAGGAAGAGTCATGGGCATCAGATGGGCATCTTATTGATGATATTAAGAGGAGTCTGCAACACTTTGAAGATGTTATTATCTCTTTTAGTCCAAGAGGGGGTAACCAAGTAGCTCATTTTCCTAGCAAGGCATGCTCTTTAATTGTAATACTATGGTAGCTTGGATTGAAGAGGTTCCCTTCTGGCTGGAATCAATTGTAAAACGATGACATGATTGTATCCTCTTATATGTGATGTTATCATTTATTGATATTCATTTACAACAACCCAAAAGATAAAAAAAGAAAAGAGGGAATTGGGAATTGGTGGATTGAAGAGAGACTTCACCTCTAATTTTCTGGTTTAAAAGTTAAAGTATTTCCTCTCAGTTTTAGGATGGTGTTATTTCTCAAATTCATAGATGGTGGTGGTGACAAGAGGGGAAAAATGGCATTAATCTCCATTTCGTGGGAAGTAAATACACACCATCGATATCATTTGGTCACCCTTCATTTCGTTGGAAGAGGTCATTTGGTCTGATTAATCTTCATTTCGTTGGAAGAGGTCGTGAGTCAATTGCAAAATCCGTTGTCATTAGTTCACAGCGATGCTTAACAACTGTCAATAATTGGAATTGAAACCAGTCCAATTATTATTGAATTTTCTTACAAAATAATATATGTTTGCTCAACTTACTAACGGCATATTTGAACGCAAATATTAAAAAAAAGCAGATTTATTCAAGACATCCATTCAAGGTCAAAAACTTAAATTTGGACAACAGAAAAAGAGAACTAAGAGTACGATTACATCTCCAGAAATACATCCAATTCATGAAACAGTCTTCTCTTTTCGTTAGCTTTGCCAATATCTTCCTCCAAGAGAAGCACCGGTAAGTTTTTATGAATCGGCAGTGGATCTTTTCTTGGTGGTGTAAGGATAGTACTCCTTGCCGTTATCGATTCTTGTTGTCTGGCCTCCAGCATCAATGAGTGAAGAAGTGACCGCTAAGGCTGCCCCAGCAGAAATTGCAGTTGAAATGCTCTTTCCTGTCCAATGGACAGCAAATAATTTAACATAATTGAGAACATTGGAGGCTTATGAGAACAACTACCAGCTAGCACAGTAAATATCCATATATCAATTTAGAACCTAGAGTCCAAAGTCCGGATTCATTTACCCCCAAATACGTCAACTCTACATGCTCAATAATCAAAATGAAGATAAGATCAAACCAATAATGATAAGAACGTTCATTGAGTGGAAAAAATATTTGGGCAAGCAGACAGACACATTAAATTAGGAGGATTAGAAAATAAACTACAAATTTCATTCATGAATGCAGATCTATAGGTCATTTATGCATTCTGTATGAGCTGAAAGAAAGTGAGAAGTGCTAGTAGTGTGATTCCCAGACACAAGGATGTTTTGCATATTACAAACCAATCCATCTCGATTATTGCAAGTATACTCTGCTAAGTAAGAACTCAGTGTATGCTCTTCAAATTCAAAATAGACTCAGCCCCTTAAATTTATATAATAGCAACACAAGTTTTGGACCTTTAGATGAAAGTACATTGAATGGCTCATATTAGCTCTTAGCATATGAGAGAGTATCATTGGAAAAACATCTTGAAAACTAATTTTGTTTACCCAACTAATCTTAGCCATTCAATGTGCTTTCACTAAACGCCCAGTGCATGTTTGAGAAACAAGGCTAAAAATTGTCGACAATACAGAGATAATTTGAGCCATTCAATGTGCTTTGGAAAATTAAAGGAGCTGTTGATCCTAACCCTAGATTTTACCCATAAATGGATATCTTCTTTTAAGGTTTAAGCAATATTAGGATAGGAAGAAATAAAACTATACATGTACTAATTCCAGAGCAACTAATGAGGTTCACGTGAAAGTGAATTACTGAGACAGTTTCTCTTAGTTTGGACTGGGGATCTTAAATAAACTTTTCAGCAAAGGAAAAGTTCTCACCACTAACATTCTCAAAGTTCCATTAAATTCGGCGTCCATGTATTAAAAATATAGTGAAACCTTAGCCAAGTCACTGTTGATAATTACACGATTTACACAAAATATATCACCAAAGGCTAAATGAGATAGGTTGCTGCCAGCAATTTATTCTTCCAAAAAATTCAAACCTCAAAGATAGTTCCTGCTCTCTGCTGACATTTGTATGACATGAAACAACAAACTACCTATTCCATATCATTTATATGGTCACAGCAATGTTCTCACTCTCTCACCCAACATTAGTCCAGAACACATAATACATCTATCATCATTACAGAAAATATTTTCTACCCAAATGCAATTTGACCCTCACATATCTAAGAACTTTTTCTCGTGTATCCATACAAATCATACAGTAGTTATCATACATAACAATCATCTAGCTTAAAGGGTGACGTCATCAGAGCCAGCTCCACATGATTTTCACCAACAACATGCCTTTCTTTTTGTTGGAAATATTAGATACATGTAATAGATAGTTTGTAGCAGGATCCAATAAATTTTGGATAAGTTATACACACTCCTTTCTAACCAGCATATGTGTCAAATTTATTGGTCTCTATTTCTATAGCATAAGCCACCTCAATCCCATAGTCTCATCAGTCAAAACTAACCATTTATGAAGATTATACATGAAGCTTATGAAATACTTCAACAAAGAGAACATTGAACACAAATCTTTCTCCTAAAAACTTAATCCCTATTTTTGGAAAAGTAAAATCCAATTTGGTTCGAAGAAATACCAATAAATAAAAAGAAAAAGAAAGACTGACCTGGAATATTTGAAAAAGATTATGTCTGAATTAGCTTTTAGTTGTGACCAAGTATAGTAATTACCACAGATTACCACTCATGGCAGCAGGAATTAAAAGTTGAAGGAAGAAATTAGGCATAAAAAGAAATCCACACCTTTGTAACCAAGAATAGTCGACCCAGCAACAAAACCACCAACAGCTCCATTGATAAAGTCTCTTTTCATCCTGTAATTCTGCACGATCTGCTCAACACCAATGTACACTCCCCCAATTGCAGCAAATGTGATCCCGTAGTTTCCCATCATCTTAAGGGTCCTTATCAGCCTGGAAGAGCGACACTTCTCTCAACACGAGGCACATCATACCAAGTAGCAACTATGGTCCCAAAAATAGTTCCAGTAACAAATCCATTTGTTGCACCCTTAATTGTCTTCATGGTAGGACTATCCTCATCCTCCAAGTACCTGCGCTCCGCGGGGTCCAAGGAGTCCATGACTGTCTAGTACTAACTGGGCACTGACAAAAACTGCAAGAAAGTAATACATATATCAGCACTTAGGCCTCATTAAACCTTTCCCAAAGGGAATCTTTCAACTTCTACCATGCAAGGCAAAGAAGGAAACTGTGTTTTCCTTTGCTCTCTCTGTTTTTAACATATAAGCTTTACTGGGTTCAAATTCTATAGAAGCATTCATTTCCCTTGATGGGCAGTAAGTGACATACATTTAGCAGTTCTACTCACCCATATTTCATTTCTTTAAAAAAATTCTTCCACACTAACAAACTAAGCATTTGGGAAAGAAAAAAAATAAATCCTAACATGAAAATTTGGGCCAAAAAAAAAAATTACAGAAGAATGAGTAAAATCTTATTTTGTTTCATAATAAGGCATTGTTTGATAATGAATTCCAGAAAGAAAAAAAAAGAAGAATTCATCCACATAGATGCAATCAAACTCAAATTCCACAAAACCCAAATATTATGTGACTATTAACACAAAATCGATGCTAATTTGAGTAAATGCTAACGCCCGAAATGAAGATCCAACCATCAACAAAACAAATTTAAAAATTGATAAATCTAAACCCTAAATATGTATATGCATATGATCGAGGAGCATCTGAATCCATGAAAGAGCCAAAACGACAGCAGAAGCTCAGGCGAAAAATGAAAATTACCTTTTCAGGAGAAAATGAGAAGCTGGCGAGTTTCTACTCAGTGCTCTCACTACGAAGACACACAAGAAACAAAGACTATCAGCAAAAATGGTCGAAAATGGCATCTGCTCCTTGCTGCACCAGATTACCATTACTGTGTGCAATGACCATTTTGCCCCTCCCTCAAAATTGGGCCTCCTATACGAGGCAGTCCGTAAACCGTGTTGTTTTTCATTTGGGCCCCGACCCGTTTACCCGTAAACCTCCTGCAACCACTTTCATTTCAGACTTTACAGTCTTTCACTCATTTCTCAAATCACACGGAGCTGAGATTCTGAGAAGAAGGGAAACTGCTTTCCCTAGAAAACGTTTTCCCGGAAAATGCCAGAAGACATTGGCAAACTCCCAATCGACATCACATTTTCTCGTCTCGGAGGTACATAGAACCACCGGAACTCAATTTTTCCTTTCAGATTTTTTTATATTTATGTATTTTTTGGGGATTGATAATTTTGTTCGTTGGGATTGAATTGAAGAATGGCTGGTTGATCGGAAGAGAATACCTGGAGACTGGAGAAAGCGATTGGCAGCAGCGAGAGCTCGGATTTCCAAGGAATTCGCTTCCCTTCCTAAGGATATCAATCCCTATTTCAGTAGCTTAGAGGCTGATGGTTGGTTTTTTCAAACTTAATCCATTTTCGAATTGTGAATTTGTGATTCTATTGGGAATTGGGTGCTTGAGAATTCGTAATTCGTCTCAATGGGTTAACTAAAATGCTATTTCTAGGAATTGGTTACTTGGAGGCCAAACAGATATATGATATTCTTGCGAAGTCAGCTCCAGAAACCCGGAATATATTCGGCCGGCTATCCGGTGCTGCTGTAAGACCTTCAAATCTCTCTCTTTCTCCTTTGCACAAACGTACTTGAATTGTAATATGAATATATATGCGTGTATAAATTTTGTGTTTTGTTTGGGTAGGGTGCTTGGGAATCAATTGTACGTTCTTTTGAGAAAGATTATGTATATCTTGGCGAGGCTGCTCAAATAATGGTTCAGAATGTGAACTATGAGATGTAAGATTGTGGTTTTGCCATTGCCTGCTTGGCTACTTCATGATAAGAAGAATAGTTAAAACTTAAGGGTATTTATATGTGATTTGTATTGATTATTCTTTTTCTCCTGTTATGAAGTCCATATCAGAAAAAGCAGGTGCAAAAGATTCAGCAACAATTAGCAGAACTAGAGCACAAGGAAGCTGATATTAAGAGAAGTGCAGCTCTATCAGCAGCCAAGTATGTAGAGGCTTGTCAAGAACTTGGACTGCAGGTTATATCTTGGACCCCCCCTACTTGTTGTTTTCTCATTTGGCTTGATAGGTTTTCCTTCTTAAATTTGGTATCTGCCTGTCTGGTTCTTTTCTTTAGGGAAAAAATGTGAGGTTGGAACTTTTAGAGACTGCAAAATCACTTCCAAGTACATTTAGCAAGATTTTGGAAGTTTTAAATGGTGATTCTGTGTCAAGGGCTCTGGAGTATTATTCAAACTTTGTTAGAGATGCTCACACAGACATGGATGTAAGGCGATAATTTTTTATTTGTTTCATGATATGAAGAATAACTTCTTTATTGTTTGCAGATGTTGATGGAAATTTGAGATCATTGTGACTAATATCATAAATCAACTCTGTTATTTGTGAATGTGATCACAGAGGTCTTTGGTCGTGTTGACAAACTTGAAAGATTTACGTGAGCATCCCCCATCATTGAATGTCCCTATAGGCTCAGAGGTTGTTGATTCTGGGAATGTTCAATCAAGCAATGATGAGACAAACAATGTGAAAGTGGATGTAGACATTAATGCAGATAGTATAGACTGGGATTTTTCTGTGGATAGTTCTCAGATTGATTGGGATATTGGTACTTTGGAAGAAACAGAGGATACTGGTAATGGTTTGGGTCCTTATGAAATGGTTAATGCGAGTGAGATCTTGCAGAGTGCTCCAAATGAAGCTGTAAAATCTGATCAGATCCCAGAGATCTCCGTGTCAGAGATATCTTGGGATATTAGTGTTGAGACTCCTCAGGTTGATGCGATTGATGATGTCAATTTTCCTAATGTAGTCGTAGACAATCAAACATCTGGTCTTGATACTTCAACTGAAACAACTGAAATCAAGGAAGGCAGGAGCCAACTTTTGGAGACAGAGTACAGGAACAAGATTCTTGATGATCTGAATGAGGTATATGACAATTTTTCATATGGCTGCATTGGATCTATTTGTTCCATTTGTTCTTCTGGTATAATATTGTCGGTTTTTGACTGAAAGATCCTGCTAGTTCCTGTTTTATATCTGTGGTCAGATCACGAAGCTTCCTTTACATGAATTCATGTTCTCTATTAATATTCTGCTATCAGGTGAAAGCTTTTTTAAATCAGCGATTGGTTGAGTTGAAGAATGAAGAAACTTTGTCCTTGCAACATCAAGTCCAGGCAGTTGCTCCCTTTGTGCTGCAGCAATATGCTCATGATGCCATCGTGGCAATGCTATCTGATGTTTCTTTGGCCATTTCACTGCTGACAAATAGGAAGACAAGGGACTTGATTATGATTCTCAACTCCAAAAGGTAATACAAAATATTTTTTTCTTGATTTGTGTCTTTTTTAAATTCGTTTTAGGTGTTTATATTTTGAATTTCAAACAAGAAAATCATAGAATGTTCCCAAAAACAGAACCAGTGACAGTATTTAGTTAAATTGAACAAAATTCCCTGCCAAATTTGTGCGGCACACAGACAATTTGCATATATTAGCAGCTTGACTGTAACTTTTTGTCAGTACAAGAAATAATGAGGCCATAAATCTGGAGACTGTACTTGCTTGATCTTGTTTCTCTTTCTATCTTTGCATGGTTACTCCTAATTGTTTGTTACATTACATCAGAAAGATCCTTTATACCATCAAATAAGTTTTTTAATAAAAAATTTTAAACGTTTAAATTGGCTTCTTGTTGCAGCTTTCTAGAATTGGCTAATCCTATTTCGGATAATTTTATTTTAATTGTGGTTTTAATGAATAGGTATAGGTTAAATTCCTCTTCCGTTCTAGCTGCAATATTTAGCATGTTACTTAAGTGGCCTTGCCATTATCCATATACTATAATTCTTTACTACTTACTCGGGTTTTTTGGTTTTGTTTCTGTTCTGTGAACTGAAGTAGGATACTTATGTCAACCTTAATTTCAGGTTTCTAGACAGATTAGTGAGTTCATTGGAAGAAAAGAAGCATCATGAAGTTAAGTTGAAAGATGGTTTGAAGGGCATAGCTGCCAAACGCATGGAGCTGCAAAATTCATTATCTTCTTCCTGGCCTAAGCAGGTGATCTATTTATTGATAGCTTTATACCCTTATATATATTGGGAGTGGGAGGGTTGAAGTCTCCCAGTTTTAGTGGTCAATTCCTTTGGTTCTTCTGGTATAAAATTAGGAAATTTATGTTTGCCATGTAGTTATGATCATACGTCTGTTTCTTTCTTTCCCCTTCCCCTTAACTCTGACTGCTGAAAGATAGCTACTCTAGAATCAGTCATTTTATGTTGTTTTTGACTTCCGGGCCTCTGGTCCTATCTTGCTTCTGTTTGTGTAAAAATACTATTATTCAGAGAAAAGCAATCATCCACTTTCTCTTTGTTAATGTCAGTTTGAATTTTTGGCGGAAAATACTAACTCCTGGTTCTATTACAGGAAGCGGCTCTTGCAAAAACTCGGGAGCTGAAGAAGCTGTGTGAAAGCACCCTTTCATCCATGTTCGATGGAAGACCTGTTAATATAATTGGAGAGATCAATACCCTTTTGACTAGTGGCCTTGGTGCATAGGAAGATGGTTGCTTCCTTTCATCCATGTTTCATGGAAGATCTGTTAATATAGTTGGAAAGATCAATACCCCCTTAGACTTTAGTGGGCTAAGGAAGATATAGTTGTAGAGATCATCCATGTTTAACATAATCGGACACATCAATACCATTTGAATAGTGGCCTTGATGCACACGAAGATGTAACTTCCAATGATAGTAAAACATTCCATACTTTGCGTTTGTGTTTTATTTGATTTTATTTTTATTTTTTGAAGTCGTGGTTCTCTCTTTGCTTCAAGATCTTACAAAAATTGAAGGAAAAAAAGAAAAAAAAAAAAAAAGTCTTTTAAAATCCCAGTGAATCCATGAAAGAAGTTTCCCTAACTGTTATCAAACTCAACATATAATTTTGCAGAAATCAGTCACTTCAGCTTTGTGTAGTCTACAAAAATAACAGAGAGCAATAGTACGTATATATTTTGGACCCTTTAATTTCTCTTATGGCGAAGATTGCCAAATACGCCAATGCATGAAAAGAAGGCCTGTACAAAAGAATATACAGCATTTGTCATGGGAGAGAACACAATCTTGTAGCAAACATCCAACGAAGCAGATTCAGTTTGTGTGTATCAAATGGACAAATAGCTCATTGAAGGTGAGCCCATGAACTGGCTGTTGGTTGAACGGAAAGATCTCTCGAAAGGGTCAACTTGAACACCATAACCATCTACTCCTTTACCTTTCCCCATGTAATTCAGTTTCTGGATTAGTCTTGATAGAGATCCCACAACCTCAGACATTGGCGGTCGGAATTCCTTCACGGGCTGTTCAAGTTTTCAGTGACACAAACAAAAAAAATCAAATTTTTTCAACAGGTAAGAAACACCCATCAAAGCAATTACATGTTATCAGATAGAAGCTAACGTTTGTTCAGTGCATAAGCAACTTCAACAGAAAAATGACTTCTAAAAACACAGCTTTCAACTAATAGCTTCAAGTAATAACAGTACTAGAATCGGTTTTTGTTTTTGGACTTCCCTAAGACAACAGAGATTCTCTTAATGCATAAATTTAAGGTATGTGCTTGTACCTGTATACAGAGGGAGACAATGTCAGCAAACTGGGAGATAGCCTTGGAGGAAAATGTCCTTATAATGCCGGGATCAATCATCTCAGCCAGACTCTCACTGTCATGAAGCCGGAATGAAGCCCATTTCACCAGTGATTGCTCCTCCCTTGGTCTTGAACTATGTATATCAAAATAGCAGCATACGTTCACAATCAAGAAACAAGACAATAATAATGTTGAGAAATGGGAAAAATGCGTATGAACCATGCGTACTTATCGAAAGGTTTCCTTCCTGTTAGTAGCTCCAAAAGCAACACTCCATAGGCATAGATGTCACACTTTGTGCTATCAATGCCTGGTTGGCCATGCTCAGGTGCAATGTAGCCAGTGTCACCGATAGCATTTTCTGAAGCCTGTTTGCATCAGAAATATGAAGTTAAGCAGTTTAGCCTGTGTCAGTTTATTACCAATGATTTTGTATCAGCATAGAAGTAGGACTGATTTATAAAAAGTATATACCTTTAGCTTAAGCCTACTGCTTGTAAGTGGCCTCAAAATTGCAAGCCCACAGTCACAGATTTGAGGAGCAAGTTCATCATCAAGAAAGATATTGGCACTCTTCAAGTTGCTATGAGCAACTGGTGGTGTGAATGTGGAGTGCAAATAGCTGAAATCCAAATAAACCAAACAGATTAGTAACGAGGATAACTACATTATTTCCCTCACATAGAAGGGATCAATTGCTACCTAGGAACTAAGAACTCTTTAAAACTTTCTAACTTTCAAGATCATGATTCGTGATGTATATTGCAATTAAAATCCACATTTCATTGAAAAAAAAGTATAATAGTTACAGTTTGCGACTCAGTAATTATTTATTCGAAACGTTGTTCCACTAGGTGTGGACTAAGAGATATGAACTTGCCGGAGAATACAATACTTACTCTAAAGCTTGTGCAACATCAAGAGCAATCCGGAGACGAAGGCCCCATGACAAAGGCTTGTATTCATCACTGTGCAGAGCATCATGAAGGGATAAATTTCTAACATACTCATACACAACAAGATGCTGTCCATGCTCTACACAATAGCCAACCAGTGGTACTATGTTTGGGTGAGTCAAACGAGAAGCAGTCCAAATGACATACAAGAATTGTTCTTCTTCATTGAAAGACAATCCTGCCATGTTGATGTTCTTCACAGCCAAAATCTGAAACAAAGGAATAACAGTCAAATAATTCTCACGAGTTCCATAGGAATTCACTGTGGCTATAAGTAGAAATAATTAGTCTAAGGAAATTTCAGGTTTATACTTGGCCGTTAGGAAACAAGGCCTTGTAAACCGAACCAAGAGATCCTTCACCCAGAAAGTTTTCTTGACAGAAGCTGTTTGTAGCTAATTGAAGCTCTGCCACAGTGTACTGCTTTGCTCTCATTGGGAATCTGTACTTATCAGAGAAACTTTTTCTTCTAGGATTTTTCTGCATTCTGTAAGCAAGAGGTAGTCGCCTAGGAGGTAGAATGGGTGACCTGAATGCCAATATTTGTGGGCTTTCTTCTGCTGTAGAAGAGCCATATATAACAAGGCAGGGAGCAGATCAAAAATTTAAAATAAAAACTGAAAAAGAAAAGGCATGGAGAAGCTATGCAGCAGAAGTGGATTAAGACAAGTTCATGTCAAAATTTATTGCCATTAGACATGTTGATATCAAGATGAGGTTTGTGCCATTAGTTACAAGGAATGTCTTTAAACCTGGATTTCAGGTTTAAACATCATGTCTGAAAGGGCATATACAGATGATACCACCACCTACACGTTCACTTTCAAAGCTAAAATGATACCTAATCAGTGAGATGATACAATATATTACAAGAAGAACTTCATTTCTGAGCTAAGCATAGGATTGAGCTTGCAGTGGTTGGCTCGTTTGTAGATGAGAGCTAAGGTAAATGTGCTTTGGACTAAACTAGCAGGGCAATAATCTTTACTTTAATTGATTGCAAGAGTACAGATTTCAGGCCTGTTGGTTAAATTATAAAGATTACTACAATTATTTACAGACAGATTGTATACAGGATCACTATGAAAGTGAGTGAGAGTTTACCTCTGGCAGTATTTCTGACTGAGAGAGAATGCATTGAGCTATTACTGCTCCCCAAGGTTATAAGCCTCCGTGCACGCGATTGATTGATGCGAACTGCAATGTAAAGGGCCACACATGATGCCACTAGAGTTCCTCCACCAACCGAAAACGCTATTCCTCCAGGGCCAATCCTTTTCTTCTTGTGTCCACCTAATTTCTTAGAGGGGTTCTTCGCAATGGCACTTGACTGAGTTGCTGGAGGGGCAGGGATGTTCTGTTCAATGGCAGTTGCCTGGGTTTGCAGAGGGAAGTCCCAGGGTGGAGAGTTATCCCCTACATGAAAATTATTTCCCCCAAACCTGAAAGAAGATAAATGTATGATGTTTACTTATTTTTTTCCTTTGCAGGAGGAGGAGTTGTAATAACAACTGATCACTTACCATAAATTTGGTATGGACTGAAAATGATTTGGAATGATGCCGCTGAAATAATTATCTTGAATGTTCCTGTCAACAGAAAATGTGCAAGCAAGCAATAAGAAAACAGATAAACAAAAATGCAAAACACAGCAAAAGGCAGGTAGGTAGAAACCTACATATCAGTTAGCGGAAGCTCAGCTAGATAAGTAACTGATCCAGTAAATTTGTTATTCTGCAAGTACCTGCAGATGCACCCAATGGATATGTGAATCAATGACACGTAATTGTAGAAATAGACTATCCCAAGCATGAAAGCACTGCAACATAGGGAAAAAAAGTTTAAAACAAAACAAAAACTCACAATCCAGTGAGATTTGTCAAGGATCCAAATGAACTTGGTAGATCTCCAGTGAAGTTATTATATGACAAATCCCTGCAGAAAACAAAAACTCACCAGTAAGAAAGGCATATTATATTGCAGCCTGACCATTGTCCAAACTTGTAATTTGATATCTCAACCAGATCACAATTCATCCAATGACAACATGCTGCGATTTAGAGAACAAAAATAGAAATAAACAAACCCGTGATATACCAACAAAGAAGATTAAAAGTTGAGCATGTTTTATTCCACATCAACTTAAAGGATCAAAGTTAAAACCCTCATTTCAATTTCACTTGAAGCCCAACATTAAAAGAGTTACATGAAAAGAAGCATACAGTTCTCTTAAATTCTGTAGGCCGGTAAATACATTGCCAATAGGTCCAGATAACAAATTGTGGCTTAGATTCCTGCAAGGAAGGAAAATTTCAGTTTATGACAGAACAATCATGAACCAAAAATCAGTCAGGGAATAAGCAACTCACAAATGTCGGAGGCTTTTCATGGTAGGTAAGGAATGGGGAATATTTTGGGTCATATAGTTGCATGCCATATTTCTGTACATGTGAGAAAGCTGAATTATCACAATTAAAAAAGAAAAAGAAAAAGTAGATGATCTAAAATATGAAATTTAACCAATCAGTTGTCTGAACTAAGCATCATACTTACATCTGAGTAGCATTAGGGGGTAAGACATATGGAATTTCACCCACAATGTTATTCGAACTAACGTCCCTAGAAGATTCGAAACCAGATGAAAATGAATCAGAAAAAGTTGTGCTTGCACAGGCATATGTAAAGCTAAAAAACAGCAGAATGATCACTTACAATTGTTTCAGATTGAAGAAGTTATAGAGCTCGCCAGTAAGATACCCTGAGAGACTCAGACCATGAAGTTTACTGCATAAGGTGAGAGAAGAATTAAGTTTGGTACATTGTTAAGGTAGCCCAAGTCTGAAAAGGTGCAAAGTTGAGCTGTGTGCATTACAGGTATATTACAGATGACCCAGAACATGACACTCCACGCCATGATTCACCACAAGGATCCCCGCCGTCCGATCTCCATCCCTTCAGCTGTGGTGGGTGGTTAAGGGCTCTGTAAAGATCTTGAAGAGCAGTGACTGCAATGCACAGAGTGAAATAATAAACTTGAAACAGCAAGATACATTATCTAAAGAAATTATTCTAAATGCATATTATTAAAAAAAAAAAAAAAAAAAAAAAAAAAAAAAAACATGCCCTTCTCAGCAGAATGCACAACATGGTAGTCCAATTGATTTTTAATTTTAATTTTTGTTGGTAAACTGGGAGAAGCAAGAAAGTCCAATGATTAATTATGAATTATTATTTCTTCAAACCACCACAAAAATTACTCTTTCTAATACTGTTCAAAGACGACAGGTCGTTTTGAGCAAAAGACCGTTCCGTAATTTTCCCGCCCAAAGCTGCGGTCTTGCTGTTTGGTTGCTCGTAAAACCCTGGAAAATTAATCGGCACAAAATTCGAGCCTTCTAAATTCTGATTCTTTTGCTTCGAACACATTAAAATTAAAACTTTGTTGCCCCCTTTTCCCCCCGTCCTGAATAACCGAGAATTTAAAGCTCAAAATTCTACTCTATTTCTTTTCTACTTTTCCTACATTTTCTCAGTGACCAAACAGAGGATAACGAACACTCTATCTCTAAACAACGATCTTCACCAACGATCAGTTTCTACAACATCTATCAACTTTAACAGTGAAAAAGACTCCATATAGAACGCCAAGAAAATCAAGAAGAAAAAAAGGAAGGATCATACCATCACGCGGATCAGTAAATGCCCCAGCCTCTGAAACCAGAATGGCGGAGATGACAATTACCGCGAAGCACACACATAGGCTCTGTTTAGCCATATCCTCGAGAATCAGACTGCGGTAATCAAACGGAAGAAATCGTTTCAGAAACAGTGTAACATAAACTAAAGTTAAACGCATTTTCTTTCATTTCCCTCCATTTTCTCGGAAACCAAACGGAACAGTGTGTTCAAGAAAGAGTGTAGAACTAACCGAAAACGCAATCAAGAACACAATTCTCAAAAAAAGCTAAAGACAAAAACGACGTCGAAGCTGTAGATTGAATATAGAAATGCTTAGGGTTTATAAATGAACTTTTGGAGGAAGCAACAGGCACAGAGAGAGAGAAAGAGAGAGAGATTGTAAAGCAGAGAGGGTTTGGAATGTGTGCTGTGGAGGTTGCAGAGAGCCAGAGAGAGACTGATAACAATGTCTTAACGAGTTTGACAATCGTTGAATAGCTGGACCCCACATCAGCACAAAACCGTTAGTTTCGTTATTTTTGCACGTGCCACTTCTCCGGAGTTTGTTACAAAACTGGGCCTAATAAAAACCCGGCCCAAGCCCAATAGTCTTGGGTTCTTCAGAAAATTGATTTTTGTTTTTTTCTTTATTTAAAAAAAATGAAAATAAAAGGAAAATAATTCAAAGGCTTACTGTTCGTTTTTGCTTAGTGAATCGTTGTGTGGGTGCTCGAGCTCTCTGGCTATGGCGGAAGAAGATGATTACATGGGGGACCTCTCTCAGTTCCTGACTCCAGACGCCTCCGGCCCTCCAGGACTTTTATCCAAAAAGGTAGGGTTTTTAACTTGTAAGGTTAATTTTCTGTTTGGTTCCCTAGAAAATACATCATAAGAATCATGAGACCTAGTTCTGACTCGTTTTTGTAGCTTTTATTTTGTTTCTGGGTTTGTTAGTTTCTTTCTCAATTGTCATAAAGGGTTTGTTTGCATCATGGAGCATGAGTTTTGTGTTTTTGAGCTAATTCTTCATTTTTGGTGAACAAAAGCTCTAACAGTAATGTACCTATCTATATTTCAGATTTCTAATAGCAAAAACCAAAGTATTCAACCCTCTAAGAAAAAATCCAAAGCACTAAACTGGCAAGAACAGCGTAAACTCGATAGGGAGAGAAAGCAGCAGGAAGAGGATGAGAAAACCTTGGCCAAAATAGAGGCTGCTCCTATTCCACAATCCAACATAGGATTCAAACTTTTAAAACAAATGGGGTATACCCCAGGCTCAGCTCTTGGCAAGGAGGGATCAGGCCAGGCGGAGCCAGTGAAGATTGACATTCGGCGCTCACGGGCTGGAATTGGGCGGGAGGACCCACATAAGGAGAAGAGGAAGAGAGAAGAAATAAGGACTTGGGCGGAGAGGAGGAACGAGCAGGTTATGATGGAGGAGTTTGGGTCTAGGAAAAAGTCACAATGGCGGAGTCGGAGAGTTGTGGTCAATTTTAAGAAGGCGCAGGCGGCTTTGGATCAATTGGAGAATAAGGAAGTTGTGCCGCCCGAGAAGAATGAGGATGAAGAAGAGGAGGGTGGAGGGGAGGAAGAGGAAGAGGAAGAGGAAGAAATTACAGAAGAGGTATGTTTCTTGAATTGTTGTCCTTTTTATTTTAGTGCATAATTGGTTTAGTGAGCATCATTTTAATGTAATATGACTGAAATTTTGGATTAAATGCATGGTTGACGTGCATAATGAAGAACATTAGATGGATTATGATGATTTCCATCCAAATTGAAACTGTTTTTGGGTTATTTTTCAGTTAGTGCTGGCTCTCTTAAATTGGAAATTTAACTGAGAACAAGTCATGTCATCTATGAGTTTCACTAGAATCCTAGATAACATGATAAAGCAAATGTGGCCTTTATATAATGTTGCATATTGTGGAATTTAAACCAAAGTCTTGTTGATTGTGTCATTGATCTTCCTGCCGGTAATCAAATTTTTCGTATATAGTTGGTGGTCAACAACTGGAGACTTATACTGGGCTTAGGATAAACTTTTAGGTGGTCTTTGTAATAACTAGGTTTGAAAGTTTCAGCTTTGAATAATTTAACAACCAAGAGCTAATTTGAGGATATGTGAGTTTATAGTATCCAGATTATTGTAGTGCTGCTATGCTAGATACTCTTTCTTGGGTGTATCAGGAGTTGGGTCTATTTCCAGGCCTTGTAGACGTATTTCCATCCCTTTCTGTTTCTTCCTTGTCCTAATGCCTTTGGGTTATTACTGCTCGATGTTATTTGGGAAAGTTGAAATATTAGTTATGCCAGGAAATAACCTGTGATGATGGTTACTTTCTGCCTGCAGGATTTGCTAGAGATATTGATGAAACTGAGAGATGAGCATCGATACTGCCTCTTTTGTGGATGTCAGGTAAGCCCAGTACATGGACTTGTTAAACTCTTACAAAGATTTAGTAATTATCATTTACTTCCAAGAGGGAAATTTGAGCTAAATTGCTTGTTTTCAAATCTGAACTGCAATTACAACATTTTCGATTATCATGCTAAAGATTCTGCTGTTTATTTCAGTATGAATCAATGGAGGCACTATTATCCCACTGCCCTGGAGCTGATGAAGATGACCACTGATCTAAGTTCCCTAATGCTGTGGACACCCAGACCTTCTTCCTTGTTTGAACAGAGAATACTGAGAGGTAATGCACCTCTTCTTTGGAGATGGATGCACTTGCTTGTTATGGAGATTTTTTTTCATTCTTGCTGCCGATTGACTTCGTAAGTTCCTATCCTCTGATGTGCAATTCTCTGAGTGAAAAACCAGTAGGAAGGCACTGAAGTTGCTCACTCAGATATTCAATTGAAAGTTGCAGCAGCTAACCCTCATAACTATGTTGGGAAAATCCCTGTAATCGAGATTGTACTAAATCACACCTCTGTGAGTTCTGTTTGAAATATCTCCCGGGTGTGTGGATAAATAACCGTATGTACACAATTATAGAACTTGTGGATGACAGATTAGGGGGGGCTTTGCCCTGAAGTAAGTGATCTTTGTTGGTTCTTTTTTGTTTTTAGGGTTCATCCCGCCTTGTAACCATAAAAAGAACTTGTGGAATTTCCTCAGAGCAGGAGTCGTACATGTATATAGAAGCTCAGTGCTCAACAATAAACTAGTGTACTTTATTGATATTTGGAAAGGCTTGCCCAATGGTTTTGCAAAATAATCTATGTGGCTATGAAATCTCTAATATTTGTTTGCCAAATTGGATTACAGTATAACTCATGAAACATTGTAGGTTTTTATCTGGACAAATTTAGGGCCCACCAGTCTAAGATTCAACCTGTAAATCTATGGTGTTTGAAATAAAAAATAGAAGTGAACATTTAGTGCAAACCTGTTCGAAAATTAAGCTGAACTATGAGCCACAGCCATATTGCAAGCATCAACACCTGACGGCACTGAACCCAATTTTAGCCCAAAGTGCTTCACACTAATTCACAAACTAACCACCAATACTCATAGGGCAAGAATTATATAGTGAGGGCCTTCCTTAGATGAGAACCTATCTCTTAACCGTTAGATTAAATTGGTTAGTTTGATCCAACGGTTAGAGATAAGACCTCATTTAAGGGCCTTCGATAATGCCCTCACTATAGAATGACTCTACTCATCCAAATCGTAGCTTTATTGCTAGGTAGACAGTTCAAGCCTTCGAGGCTAACCTAGATTACGATATTCGTATTCTTAACATACAAAGCATGATCAGTTTGGGTTGCTACCCAACAAGACATAAAAACATGCAAGAAAAGTTCCAAAGTTTTTTAAGTCACACTAAGGCATCCACAAGAACTAGAGAATAAGGGACCCCTTTTAAAGTGACCAGTGCATCTGCTGGTTGGTGGAGGAGTCATAGCCCCTGGTGTGTCCGAGTTCCATGTGCTGCTGCCTCCTGTTCTGTTGAGACAGCTCAAGCACACCAGAGTACTGACGACTGAGAGGCTGTGAGATTTGACCGAGACCCAGATCGGGAAGCATTTCATGTGAGCTGCTACCAGCCTCATTTCCCTTGAAACCCAACGAAGTGGTTGGAAAGTGATTGGAGGTCCCAGCATGAGCCATTGGTCGAGTCACAGTTACCCCTTGGGTGTTCATCCAGGTATTCAAGTAGGCATTCATCCCAACACCCGATGGTCGGTTTCTAGAGCCCCATGGTTGATTTGACAGAAGAGAGAGAGCACAGCTTGAGTCAGCGACTCCTGTGACGCATTCTCGAGGAGGAATTCCAGGATCAGGATAACTAGTCCCGCCTGCTGAACCCTGTAGATAACGGCCAGATGTAGTAACAGAGTTGCTCTGCCATGGATGTTGAAGAAACTTGCCCGTGCCATTGGCATTTTGATTAACAGGTACTCGCTCAGAAGTTCTCGTGGTCGCCCATGCATCCCTATCAGCAGGCCTTGGGTATGCAGTGAAGTCCATCAGAAAGCTTCCAACTCTGTTGCTGTTTTCTATCATTTCAAGTAAAACATTTTATTGCCTTTTTATACGTAGCCTAAGAGGAAACTGAAAAAACATAGAGAGCGCAGAAATGTATTTTAAAGGGAAATTCAATGAGATATGTCTAACCAAAGAGAGACGTAGAAAGTCGGCCAAAACGCGTAGATACGGATCCAGGTTGTGGCTTTCTCCGGCGCTCATTATGACCAGCCAGGCGTCTACGGCAACTACGTTTTCCTTGGTCAAATTCAGGAAGCTGATGAAATCTGGGAGGGAAAGAAAATTATTTACCATTAATGTAGGGCCTGAACTAAAGACTTGAAGAAATTTGTACATTAACAAAAGCAAAAGCAGACATTTAATTAGTGTTTAGTTTGGCTAAGCCAGGGATCTAGATTCTTCTAAAAAGGGCATACATAGGTTGTGCTTGTGACACAACAGTTGAGACCTGAAATTCACTGGATGCTAGATGTTCTAGTACAAAAGAGAAAAGCCCTCAGCAGAAAGACCAAGACCTTTAACAATACTCATAATACAAAAACACAACCATTTTCAACCTCCAAACTCAAATACAATGAACTAATATTGATGAACAAAATAAAACATAGGGAAGTATCATGAACTTAATACCCTACTCATATGCTGCTAGTTTGAAAGGGTCATGTTAAGATCTCAAAGAATAAACCATTAAAGAGACGATACAATGTACAAGTTCTCTGTCACTCGACAGAGAATTGATGAAGCAAATCTCGAAATTTTATGTCATGCCGGTATAGCTCGCACTTCCTGCTGTAATTTAGAAGAATGTTTCACACTTGGTATGGCAGCATAGGCATGTAAGATTAATTTTTGAAAGATTGCCAATGCCAAAAAACATATCACAATTGTAATTTTATACCAAAATATCAGAACCACATTTTCTGCTAAATTCAAATCTTATACTCGCAAATGAAATCTGTTCAGAATGACATGATTCGAACAGGTTATCAAATTGATCACAAGAACTTTAAGAAATTTGAGTTCAATGAAACAACATTGGTTATATCTGTTTCAACCCAAGTTGTTAGTCTATTCACTATTGCTGCAAGCGATTCACTAGTCACAATTTACAGTGTGAGAACTGTGTTGCTGGTTCTCAATCCTCAATGCAGCTCATGAAAATAATCTCACCATAACTTTAGCATACGAGGCTTGCAAGTGAAGCATTGAAATGCAACATTTCCAAATGCATCATTTAAGAAAACAAGTAAAGCCGAAAAGCCTTCATCAAGGTCCAAAGCAGCTAACACTCAGAATAACAATCACCAAGAACAAGATATATATAACACAATACTCACTCACAAATAGAATTTGACAAATTGGAAAGTAGCACAGCTAGATTACAAACAAAAACCAACAACCACAAGAAACACAAGCTACAACCCCACCAAGCACCAAAGATGTTAGTTTACCAGAAAATTTATAAAACTTGAAAGTCGAACAATGAAATTTAAAAAATACCCAACAATGAAATTCAAAAACTTTATTAGAAAAAAGTCAAGTGCTTGCTGACCTGCTACACTGTTGGCAAAACCTCTGTTCAAGACCAGCAACAATGACCTTAGGGGTCTTAGAGTGCAAGCCACACACTTTGTGCCTGGAATAGTAAGCTTTGGCATCACTCAGATCTACCTGCTCACAAATGTTGATGTTTTGGGTAAGAACACTGAAATTACTCCACTGTTTCATTCAATAAAGAATGATGATTGAATATAGAGTGCGTTAGGTCAGTTGACTAGGACACTGAGTTCACACCCAAGTTTGAATCCCTTCTCAAGATTATATTAATTTAGAGTAAATTATCGCTTGTATAAAAAGTAAAAAAAATGATGATTGATACAATTTATATACACTGCAAATAATAGATTGATCTAGAATGAAATACTGTTAGAAAACTAGTTTAACCATTTTTCTGGCATGATTCTTTCTAGGAGAATTAATATCCTTGAGGTTAGCTGTAATATAGTAGAGTCAGGTGTATTGTATGTTTTGTGAGCTTGGTGTCACCTGGCAGCCTTCAACCTGGCACCTGGGTGGCTGACCCGGATGAGCCAAATGCCCGGCCCTTTGCTTCTTTGGCGGTGTAGCCCCAGAAGAAGAAGAAGACCCGGCAGACCCGGATTTGTATGAAGCTCCGAGACTCGCATCCTCAAAGTAGATTTTCTGGCCGAATTTTAAGCCGTTGAGTGACTCAGTGGAGGAGTTTGGTGGGGAAGAGGAAGATGAGCTCCCTGACTCGGTCATAGAGCTCGAGCTCATTTCCATGGTTGACCTCTACAGTGCATTCATAATATTTTTTGGGTTCATGAATGTGCCTTAATATATATATATATATGAGAGAGAGAGAGAGAGAGAGAGAGAGAGGTTAGTTTCTCTTTCTAAAGAAGCAGTAGTGAGAGAGTGATAAAGGTGGTGAATGTGGAGGGATAGTGAAAAGCAGAGACCTGACAGTGGCCCATGCCAGCTCTGAGCCTCTCGGAGAGAGAAAGAGCGAAAGAGAGAGAGAGATTTTGTTTGTGTAATTTGTCTGAGAGAGAGAGAGAGGTACAAAAATAATGGAGCCAAACGCAGAACAGAGAGAGATGGATGAATGGGCAGTGTGTACTTTAATGGAGTTCTCTCTCTCTCTGAAGCACTCAGCTTTACAAGAAGCTCCTTTTACGGGCTTGACAATTATAACTCTCACCTGTCGTTTTTAACACAACTTTCTTCTCCTTTCTCAAAGATTTCATATGATTCGATTTGGAAGGGTGTGTAGCTCAAGTCATTAAAATCATTTATTTATACTCCGAGTTCTTAGGTTGATTTCTCTCTCTAATATCGCTCTATAAAAAGAAAAAAGAAAAAGGAAAAAAGAAAAAGATTTTATAAGCTTTTCTTTTTGATGGGATATTATGGATTATGGATACCGGTGCCCATATGCATGATGCATGGGGCACATAATTTTGTGATTAGAAATGTCAAAATGTCTAAATTGCCCCTGCTTTCTTGATTAACGTGTTTTACATTATGATTTAGTAGATTTTACCCCCTTCTTGATTAACTAAGAAAAGAGTTCTCTTATGCTTTCACTTCCCCTAATTTTGTCAATACCAACTCCCAAAAGAGAACTTTAATCCAGCAGGGGACCATATGTTTGTGGACTATACCACTAAAAATCACAATAATCATTAGTACAAATGATGTAATTAGTAGATTTCAACGTGGTTCACTAATATACTCTAAAAACGTAATCTCTTTTAAACTATACTATTAATTTAATCACAAGTCAAGAAAGAAGAGTTTTATTTTTCTACTTATTATTAGGTACAAGTACAATAGGGTAGGTAGTTGAGTAATTCGGGCAAGTTATTAGTTGGTTAATTAAAGAAAATAAAAGAAAATAGGTTTTAGAATCCATGCACAGCAGACTACCTAGTCTATAAATAGTGGACAAAAACTCATGATATTATTTTGTAAAGCAGTAAAATTCATTGATATATCAGGCAAAAACTCATGATATGAACAAAAAGAACACAGCTTCAAAGGAAGTTATTGCTATATATATATATATATATATATATATAGAAAACTAGAAAGCGTAATCAATCGTGCACAAATATTGCAAGATAATGTGTACAAAAATTAGACAACTATTTTGATTAGGAAAAACCAAACCATGTACTGCAATTGGGAGGCTTAGCAAAAATAAAATTAAGCATGTAGTTTAGTTAGGTTGAATTTTCTAATTATAGAATATTATGTTATCCAAGTTGGAAGAAACGGGCTCTGAGGAGAATTGCCTCACCTAACATGCCACAGCTTTAGTAGGTCTAGAATGCCTGCACTTCCTGTTATAAACACTTTTTCCTTCCTCAAGGAGCTACATATGTGTGAATATTCATGCTGTTTCAGTTCATACATCCATGTGGGGCCAGTGATGTAGATTATCCACTACTTTATCACAACCTGGTTTTCATGTTTGGACTCTGCACTTTTTTCCTTTTTTAATATAAATAATACCAGGAATATCCCAATACATCATTTACAAGATATATATATATATATATATATGTGTGTGTGTGTGGTGTTGAGTTTCCATTGATGGTTTACTCGAATAAATTTCTTTGAGAGACAACTTTTTAGGACCCCTCTGTATAGTGTTTCAATGATTTGGAGCAAAAAATCACCAAAATCAGAAAACTTATAACCATTTAATTAGAAGGTAGTCATTTGAATGTTTTTTGAAAATATTGTGTTTGTCTATTTATTTTGCCATGATCTATGAATAAAGACTTAAAAAGTAAACATGTTGGATCATTGAAAGTTAATGTAAAATAAACCCTATAAGGTGTGGAAACACTTGAGTAAAACAGAAATAATACTGTTTTTTTTATTCCTAGTCAATCATCATCGTTGATTATTCATGATAAATTTTCTACGTAACAATTTGTAATTGACCAAAAATAACAAAAGAACGCTATTCCCGCTTCACACAAATTTTTATGCTAAAAGGTGAGAGCAATGGATGATATAAGGACACGCAAGGCCCTCCTTCACCCCACATCATCACTTCTTCCTCACACAACAGGACATATCTAATAATTCAACGTTGAGATTTAATAATTCACCTTGAATTATAGATGTATGTTGAAATTGTTGAAAAGCTCAAATATTATTCCAATGACAAAACAAAGGTACAAGTTAACTTAAAGAAGCGCACACCTGTCTCTCGTTTGAAGTAGTCAATCTCCTCAGCCTTGAGTCCCCCGTTAATTTACTTCTACCAAGGAAGGAGGCTCATAACATATTCTAGTTCCAATGAGAAAACCAATGCTAAAAGAAGGGTAAAATTGTCTATATGGATTTGAAACTAGTCAATCTGCGCTCAGCTCTGAGTTGTTTGTTCCATTTCAGACTTGCTACTTATTGGAATTTGAATACTTCAGAGCCGGAGAAGGAAGTGACAGTTTTATTTTTATTTTTTTTGGTACAATAGGATGTGACATTTTTAGGGTGTCGGCATGTGAGGCATTTGGCATTTTCTTTATTATTATTATTATTAATTTTTTCATACCCTAAATTTCCGAACCCTAGAGAGACACATGCATGCAGGTACTGCTTCGCAAATATCTTGGCAAGAATCTTACTCTGAACCATGAGGTCTCTGAATTATTTTCCATTGAAATTACTTGAAATAAGAGATGTGTTTGGAAAAGTGGAAACTTGATGGCATTCAACAAGGGTTCCATTTCAAGGTTGCAGTTTTTGTTAGTTTGGTTTGGTTGGACTTGAAGCCATTATTCTCAACAAGCCAGCCTTCACTTACCATTACAAAAAAGAAGGAAGGAAGGAAGAAAAGGGCAAATAAAGCTATCAGAATCACTCATCCGCAAATGACCCACTTCACTTTAGCTCTCTGCCTGCCCTCTTCCACCTAAAAGCAGGAATAAATATTTGATTGATTTCATAATGGGGATTAATTGTTAATGGTGTGGCAGGTGAAAGTCCTTTTAGGTCAAATATGTTAATAGCAGTTGAGCAGTCAGCAGGTGAAGCATGCTTCCTCATTGGGACATCAGAAGAAAGGGGGGTTGGTTGGTTTACTTGTTATAACTACTAATTATCTCTTTTTTTTTCACAACTTATGAGGCATTTCTCACAAAGTGGGTACTATAATATTGTTCTTCTTTTAATCCAATGATTTGATGTGAAACATGATGCGTGAGGAAGAAAGATTGCTAAAATATATCCTCGGCGTAGGAAAGTTTTTATTTATTTATTTACTTATTCTTTTTGTCTTCCTACCACATAGGTCTTATTGGGTTGGGAAAAAGTTTAGAGAAAAAGTTCGGACAAATAGCATTCTTTTTAAAACATAACATAACTGACTAACTTTTAATTTAGTAATATTTCTCTTCCTAATCATGAAATATGTCCAAGTTCAAATGCCTCTCTCAATCATTTTTTTTTATACAAAATCACAATCATAATTTCTTGTTGTTGCTAAAAGTGATATCTAAACTATTCTAAATTAATCTAATTTATAAAGAGTTACTGGGTTTGAGTCCTAGCATTCGTGTAGTATGTGTTAGTTTAGTATACTATTGCCCCTCTCAATAGGAAAAGCCCTATAAAAAAAAAGGATTTTTTTTACAAGCTAGATTTAAAATTCATTATTTACGTTTAAAATATAATTTTAGAAAGACAAAGAAAAAAGATGCCATAACCACCTCCCACCCCAATCCAATCCCCCTATTCTACTCGCACTGCCTGCCGCCCCTCCCCCCTCTCTCTCCCTCTCAATAAAAAAAACTACAAGATCTCTTCGTTTGGACCTGAAATCTACGCACCGGCCCGAAAAAAGCGTTGGGTTCACTTTCCAAAATGGGTATTGAGCTTTGTCTACAAAAAAATGGTGAATGACCCATACTATTCAACAAAAGGGGGATTAAATTAAATAAATTCACATTATTTTGATATAATTGAGAAATAAGTTACCACCAAGGTGATTTAATCCAATGACCAAATTATTTGAATTAGTTTTAGCCCAAAGTTCATAGTTTCTTAGCTATTAAGGTATGTCAAAATGACTCCTCATTGTTGGTAACTAGATTCCAAATAAATTTGATGACCATGAAAGCTGGAAAGTAAAGTCAGACTTGCTTTAGTTGAAAATTACGGCTGACAAATCTTTTTACCACTTGATCATTGATGAGGGATTAGTCCAAAATCAGAAAATATCTAGGATTATCCATCATCGCATTTTCTCCTATAAAGACAAGAGTACCTGCTGGACTGGAAAACATACACCCAACCAACACTCAAACAGAAACCCAATACAAACAATCAGTTCAAAACTGACCAAAGATATTGTGATAGTTGCAATTACATTGCCCACACTATATACACCAGGGACAAAACAAATAAGGCGTTTGATTGTCATTTTCTTGCTGATGTTGATGATATTGATGCTGATTTTAATGAAGATGAATACTACAAACATCTGTGATAGGAGCAGGATTTGAAAGAGCTGTTGAACCAGATGCTCGGGCACATGAAATCAAGGAAAATATCAACTCAGGGTCTGAGGTCGGCCATGGCGGAGCTGATAAAATACTATAAAAAAAGAAGTTGAGAAACTGCTGAAGCACTCTATCCACGATCAACATCTCTTTGTCCTCGATAACGAGGAAGTACAATTACTTGTGACGCTTGCATGGGACCCATCACCACCATCAGTAGCAAGGCCTTTTATCGTTGTGTCCGCCAACAAGAATGCCCTTTCTTTGTCCACAAAACATGTGCTGAATTACCTAGTACAACGATTCACCCGCTTCACCTACACCACTCCTCTTCAAAGAAGCTAATTCATTTGACAGAGTGTGTGTCATATGTGCGAGTGCTTGTGCCAAGGCTTCTGTTACTATTGTAAAAAATGTGACTCATACCTAGACCTCCAATGCATGTCTCTTCCCGACTCTCTTTCACATGACGCTCATGAACACCCACTTTACTTGAACTCTCCTCCAAGAGAGGACCGGTGCAAGGGGTTGCAGTATTTCTCTCACTAAATTCCGCTTCAGTTGCATCAAATGTGAGTTCCATTTGTGTGTTCCATGTGCTAAACTACCTCCTACGACTAGGTACAAGTACAGCGATAATCCTATCAAGCTCGCGTACCGTGCCGTTAAAAACGGGCTAGGTGAGTATTACTGTGAAATATGCGAAGGAGAACGAGATCCTACTCATCGGTTCTATAGCTCTGCGGATGGTGACTTTGAATGCAATCCTCATTGCATTTTGGGGAGGTATCCGCAAGTTAAGTTAGGTAGCAGTTACAAGCATGACGCTCATGAACACCTTGGCACTCTTGTTGATAAGAGAAAGAGTGTCATTCCTTTTGATAAAGAGAGAATATTCTTCCTTGCGAATGATCGGTGTCTGAATGTTTTGAGTGTAATGTAAACATTCACCGAGAAGGAAATTGTTCGAGTTGACTGTTTGGAAACTTCTCGAGTCAAGGAGAAAGAAGAAAGAAGAAAAAGAAAAGTAAAGTGCCCTGTGGCTGTTCAAATTTATTATAATTATGTTTATAGTCAAGGTTTCTTGTTGTGTTGTTTTAGAACAGAGGACTCTGCAATGTAAGAATAAATTATTTCTTTAACAGACAACTTTTTCTTATGTAGATGATTCCCTAAGAGAAGTTTGCAATTAAGAAATTAGTGCTAAAATCTGAAATTTAATATGAGAATATTTGTTTGTGAGAATTTTATGTGTATTCTTCTCCTTGTAGGAGGTCATATTTATAATACAACGGAATTTTAATGGGCAAGTAAGTAATAAATTCCTATTTCTATTTACAGTAGAAAATCAGGAATTAAAGTAAATCAAATATAATTATAATAGGAATCATTGTTGTGTAAGGAAAGAAAGTCAATGGTCCACAAGTTACGCCAACACTGCCCCTCACGTTGGTGCCTAGATGTCGCTAATGTCCAACTGGTCTAGTGAATTGTGGAACGCTTTACTGGAAATTGCCTTTGTCAAAATATCCGTCAACTGATCCTCGAACTTTACGAAAAGAAACTGAATCACTTTAGCTTCAAGCTTCTGTTTGATATAGTATCGATCTACCTCAACATGTTTGGTGCGAGATTGGATTATGTGCAATAGCTATTGCAACCTTGTTGTCACAAAATAGATTCATTACAGATGTAGGTCTATACCCAAGTTTAGTAAGCAACCTCTTTAACCAAATGAGTTCACAAATTCCTTTAGTCATACCTCTAAACTCGGCTTTTGCACTAGATAAGACGACCACATTCTATTCTTACTTCTCCATGTAACCAAATTACCTCCCACGAATGTGAAGTAACCGGATGTGAATTTCCTATCTGTTATACTTCCTGCACAATCTGCATATGTGTAACCATCAATATTCAGATGACCATGTTTTGATAACATAAGTCATTTTCCGGGTATAGACTTCAAATATCTAAGTATCCGAATAATTGCATTTATGTGGTCTTCACTCGGCGAATGAATAAATTGACTGACGACGCTCACCGCATAAGCAATGTCTGGCATAGTATGAGACAAGTAGATCAATCTTCCCACTAACCTTTGGTATCTTTCTTTGTTAGTTGGAACTTGATACGGGTATTCTCCAAGATGATAATTCTAAATAATAGGAGTGTCTACAGGTTTGCAATCGAGCATGCCTGTGTCTGTCAGTAAGTCCAAGACATATTTCCTTTGAGAGAGAAATATTGACAGGACCTTACCCAAATTCCACTTTGGAATCAGAGCCAAACCCTGTGCATGTTTGACACCTGGAGGGTGCTGGGCGTAAATGACTAAATTGCCTTTCTAACTAAAAAAAACCATTATACTACTAGATTGACTTCTAGCGAAAATTCGGCAGAGTTTCCCTTGTAATTTGCTCATTTCCCAAAATTTTTACATGTCATCAAACATTTATACAACTCAATCATTCAACATGCATTCAATTATATCCAAACAAAGTAAGCATCATAATATTCTAGTCTCAGGTTGCAACCAATCAAATAAATCACTCTGCTAATAAAATTCATCTCAACTTTCAGAACAACAGTAATACATTTGTATTCTCAACATTCTAACTTGTGGCTACACCTCGTAACCATCGGCTGCCTACGTACCCTTACTGAGGGATCAAGCCACACATAGTTCTCATATTTCATCTCAGCTTCCTGTTCCTGGCATTACTCACTTGGCAATATATAATTAATTGAATGAATAAAAGCATTTAGATTCAGGTAATCACACTTGGAAAGCCATAACTATCAATTTCCTCGTGACACCATTGGTGACACGTCATGCCCTGTAATTCTCGCTGGACTTAGGAGACATCTGGTCAACCTGATTCGTAATCTTCGCTCCCACGGTTTGTATATCTCTAAGACTCGTGGGGCAAAATATGATAGAAAAACTTAAGCTATTTAATACTAAATAAAATAATGCAAGATAAGGATAAGCTTTGAACACTCTTGTATCGAACTCACGTAAAGTTCATAAATAAATATATATATATATATCTATATATATCAATAACTTGATTATAATCTATATATATTTCCATCTATCGCTTGTAAAACAAATGTGACGCTTAAGAAAATAATGGTAACTTTATAAAATCCTCAATTAGTTCAAAAGCATCTCAAAACTTAAATTCTCTCCACCAAAGCGTACCCCTATTTCTGATATGTCAATTCCTTTTATGCCGTCAATTCCATATATCCGTCAATTCTAATGTTAGTCCTTCAATTCCATCCTCGCAGGCCTCGGAAACACAAAGTTAACCGAGCCGCATTCCTCGCAGGTCTCAGAGATAACACTTCAATCTAAGCCACAATCCTCGCAGGTCCCGAAGACACCAAGTCCATCCAAGCCGCATTCCTCGCAGGTCTCAGAGATAACACTTCAATCTGAGTCGCAATCCTCACACCACACAGTTCAAACGTCCCCGAAACTCATGGGGCATTATCAAACTAGGAGGTACCCTCGTGGTGGGTTTGAAAACCATAACCCGTCATTTATATAAACTTTCAATAAATTCATTCTCAACTAAACTTAAATATACATATATATACCACAATCTGATAAAAGCCAAAAGCTATAATTCATCCCTTTCAACTATTGAATATATATAAATATATACTAAATACTTAGCTAGTTTGTTAACCATATCAATCTCTGATTAACATACCATCCCATATTACATTTATAATTTTACGACATAATTAACCATATGAATAAATAAACAGGTGATAAATAAACAGATAATTAATTACTCATCCTGAATTCACATAAAATCTTGAAATTAAACCGTAAATAAACCAATTGAACACTTGCACACACATGAACTTTCCACAGGTTCATACACAAACAATATAGCTCAACAACATTATTTTATCCGAACCCCTGGCCCTGGGTTCCTAAAAGTACGTGCACCAACGTTAAGTCATTTTATGCTCACAGTAGCTTTCCTTATATTTGAATTGATTTAGAAGTGTCTCGAGACTCAAAAGGCGATAAAGTCCCAAAAAGTCAACACAGGATCCCGTGGGGTCCACAACCTCCAAAATTCCGATCCGAGAGTTCCTAGAGGTTCTAACATACCTAGGACACATGTCCTGAGAGTTTGGTCTCGATCGGACGGTCGGATTGCTTACAATTGCACGATCGAACAGTTTCTGTAACCTTAGCCCTAGGGTTGGCATTCTTGGAGTATCAAGGACTCCGATTAGCGATCCGTTGAATCCTACACGATCCAAGAATTCTCTAGGTCAACACATACAAGAATAACTGCTATCCAACGGCTCAAACGTATCGAACCCGAAAATCGTACAATAGGCAAAATTCGTTCGATGCTTGAACGGTATCCAGATTGGAATCCGAGCACACCTACTCGCTCATGACAACTAGGAGATTGCATTGGGACACAATGCTCCTTTGCTACAGTGCCCACGAAATGCCACACGCGCCGGCAGCGCATGGTGCCCAAAGCGATAACGCTTCGCAGGAAAATCTCAAAATCACAGCCCAAGGCTCCTACCCTAGGTGTAACACCCTATTTGGAACAACTTTTGTTCTTGGACCTACCCAAAAATTGGCCGAAAATGGCTGGAATTGCAATCACAAAATCGGCCGAACCCTAACTCGAAAATCGAACTATCTACACTACGAATCGAAGAAAACCTACCCAACCATCAGCTAGATCATGAAAAATAGTTGAGAAACCATACCTCACACGTTGAGATTGGTGGCCGGAGGAGGGAAATCGAACGGTTGGAAATTTCGAGCTAAACCAAATTGTTCTCAGGTTCTTTCTAGCGAATTCCGGCGGTTCCGACAACAGAGCTTGACCAGGAAGGAAAGAGGGAGGCTGCCCGGTTCATTTAGGTCCGATCCCTTGGCCAACCGTGGCCTGTAGCAGCGGTGGTGGCTCCCTAGAGCGCTGGCTGTCTAGAAAAACGAAAAGGAGGGCTGGCTCGCGAGGAGAGAGAGAGAGCTTAAACAAAATCTGACTTTTGCCTAATTATAGTTTTGCCCCTCTGAGTATTTTGATAGTAACTTCCTTGATAAAACTCCTATTCGAGTCCACTACGTGTCTACGGATTCGTTTTGTCACGCTCTACGCAATAATGGAATTGAAATTTCCATATTTTTTCTCGATCGAAAAGTCAACTTTTCTCTAATAATTTATTATAAGGGCAAAATTGTCTTCTCACAATAAAATAATAATTAAAAATTAATTAAGGATTGGGTTGTTACAAATATGCCTCGTTGTGATCGGGCCACCTCAATCCCCAAGAAATATTTGAGTCCACCAAGATTCTTCATCTCAAATTCAGTAGCCAAATAGTCTTGTAGTTGAGATATTTCATGTTTATCATTCCCAGTAATAATCATGTCGTCAACATAGATTATTAAAGCTGTTACCTTCCATTTCTGATATTTTAAGAACAAAGTATGATCTGAGTTACTCTGTATGAAACCATTGTTCTTCATTGGCACGGTGAACTGTTCAAACCATGCAAGTGGTGACTGTTTCAATCAATACATCGCCTTTCGTAATTTGCATATTGTTCTAGTATGAATAGTATTATATCTAGGAGGAATGTCTATATACACCTCCTCCGTAAGTTCTTCATGTAGGAAGACATTCTTTACATCAAACTAGTGTAGTGACCAGTCTAAATTAGCTGCGAAGGACAGTAAGACTCTGATTGTGTTCAATTTTGCAATTAGTGCAAAGGTTTCTTCATAATCTACACCATAAGTCTGTGTGTACCCTTTCGCCACAAGTCTTGCCTTGTATAGCTCAATAGATCCATCAGTATTGTGTTTTATGGTAAACACCCATCTACATCCGACAATCTTTTTTCCTCGCGGTAAAGTTTCTAGTGTATAAGTCTGATTCTTCTCAAGAGCTTTCATCTCTTCCTTTATATCTTGAACCCACTTAAGATCTTTAAATGCTTCAACAACCTTGGTTGGGATATGAATAGAAAACAACTAATGCACAAAGGCCTTGAGTGGTTCAGACAGCTTCTCAGTAGATACATGATTCGCAATTGGATACTCTGATGTCTAGCCAATATCAGGTGAATAACGATTTGGTGGCTATCCACGATTCTTCCTTAAAGGTAATTGGTATCCAATAGATTTATGCTCTAAATTCACAAGTGTAGTAGGAGTAGTTACCTTAAGGATATTCTCAGGAGATTGGTATGTTGGTACTGTTAAGTTAGAGGGAGAGTCTTCATCTTGTTGTTTTGTATTGTTTGTAGGTGTGGGACTCAAATAAGAAACATCTTTGCAGCGATTAGGTGGGTCAGGCGATTGATAGCTATGAATGGGCGATTGATCATTTTCAGGATAGAGTAATATCGTGCTCCAGACTCGGGACGATCGATCATTTCTGTATAGATGAGAATTTCTTCATTTTCCAAGTTGCTCCAATTCTGCTCTTCACTTCGTATCTCTCCATGAAGCGTAGAATTAGATGATGGGTCATGAAAGAACATCTCAAATTCCAGAAAGGTCACATCCAAAGTGACATAGGTACGTCGAGTATGAGAGTGATAATAGCGGTAGCTTTTCTGATGAGTGGCATAACCCATGAAATCAGAACGAAGTGCACAGGAATCAAGTTTGCTTAGTTAATTTTTGTGGAGATGAATGAAGGCCACACATCTAAAGATTCGAGGTGTGAGTGTTGGTGAGTCCTTACTTAGTTAGGATTTTGGTTCCTTATTTAGTTAGAATTTTGGTTACTTACCAATTGTTATTTAGTCCTATTGTAATAGAGATTTATTTCCTATTGTAATTTAGATATATTTCCTATTTTATTTAGGGTTAACACATCGTTGTACTTGTATAAATACCTCAATATTGGAGAAGAATAATAATATGAGCGTATCTGAGCGTAATTGAATATTTGCCCTACTTTGTTTGACATGGTATTAGAGCCAGGTGTTGCCTATTTCTTCATTCCGACGACCCTTTCTCTTTAGGGGGAAAGGGAGAATGAAGAGAAGTTGTCTCTGCAATAATGGAAGTATTTGTCATTGTTATGACATTAAATTTAATGAAATGACAATTACAAATAATTTACCTTGTTGCCAAGATTTTTGCCGCTTCGAATATTGTCCCTCGCTTTTGCCAATGCATCTTTCCATTTCCCTAAATCTTTATTTAAAAATTTTCATCTACTAGCCAAGGCCATTTTCGTACGAGCCCAACCCGATCTTTCACAAAATTCAGCATGAATTTTTCTCCACATATGAGAGAACTTCATCTCATTGCTCATGATTGGACATTGACCACCTTGGACCTTACACTCGCATAACGAAACCTCTTCCATGGTTGTCCACGACCATCTGGAAGAGGCCATTTGTATTTTTACACAAATGAAATATAATAGTAGAAAATTTGATGTGGAAAGTGAATAATATTGGAAGGAGAAGAATATGTATGAAGATTTGGTGTGGAAAGTGAAGAATATTGGCAGGTATTTATAGAAAAAAAAATTCAGAATTTTTTAGTATTTTTATATAATAAAAAATTCAAAATGTTTTTTTTTAAAACAAATTGGCAGCTGTTTGATTAGAGGAGAAATATTGGAGTAGACACCCTAGGAAGCACCACGTGGCTTCTATCCGTTAGGGGAAGCAAGTTTGATGCCAGCCTGGTGTCAGCGGTGATGTCATCAGCCTTCAGGCAGTAGCACGGGCTCAATTTGCCTTTGGGCTTGCTCGGGTTGGTGGCCCCCACATGTTGCCCGGGCTATCGGGCCTAAGGCCCCATCCTGCCCAGTCTGGTCGATAGCACTGGAAATGCTCTAAGGATAAAGGCCACATGGCCATTAAATGGCATCCCCTTGTTGGTTAAGATCAAAATTAACTTTGATGATTCAATCCAAAACAAGAATTCACTAGGTTTGTCATACGTGATAGTGATCGCCATATCTTACTTGCAAGTGCAAATAAGATTGCTGAGACTACTACAATGTTGCAGAGAGCATTGCTTTTAGGGATGGGCTTGCCCATGGCCACTACTGTGGATGGCCAAAACTTATTTTAAAGGTGATTCTAAACTTATCATTGAAAGCGCCCTAAAGAAGGTTTCGACTCCCTGGAGTATTCAAAAAACTATTCAGGATATTTGGAAGCTTATATCATTTGGAGAATCCATTCTCTTTCAACATGTTGAATCACGAAAAGAATTTGGGAAAAAAAAGTGATTATCTTATGGCTAAAGGAAAAACGAATTTGAGATTGTTCTCAAGTTAGATTATTCTCAAGTTAAGTAAGCATAACTCCAAAAGGTAATATATGGGATTCTTCAAATTTGTATTTCTTAAGACAAAAAATCTAGTAATGATTGCTGAATTATACCCTTACTTATAGTTTCGTCCCTATATTTTTATTAATTTGGTTGAAATTATCTGTTTATGGAACTTTCTTCTACTTCTAAAAAGGGCGATAGGTTGTGATGTTAGAACAATTCAATAGAAACTGCTACGGAATCTCAGTTTTAGTTTGGATATTACATTCTTGAGTAGAGTAGAGTTTTGGAATATGGGTTTGGTAAAGTTTATTTAAAAGCACGAAAGCATCTGACCTTGAACAAGAAGGAGCCAAAGACAGAAAGGGATCTTTGTTTCTTTATTGAGATGTTCAGGATTTCTTCTCCTTCTAGCTATCTTTGTTTCATATATATATATATATATATATATATATATATATATATATACCAGAGAGCTTCCATTGAGGGACAACAGTTGTAGGCCCCACTATGGATTGTATTTCACTAATCCAAACCGTCTATTTTGTAGATACTCATTCAAAGATCATCTCTACAAAAAATCACTTGAATTCGATATCATTTGACCACTCAATTGAGTTATTGAAATTTTAGTACTTTCTTGAAGCACCGTGTTCATTGATTTTGTAAGACACAATTGGATGTCGAAAAAGTTTCCGATTTGTCTAATTTTTTGTAAGGATGATCTATGAATGAAGACCTAAAAAATATATGGTTTGGATCATTAGAAAAAAAAATTGTAGGGTATCCTAAAGTACGTCCCTCAAATAAAATTATTTGAGGGATCCCTTCATAGAAGGGGACTATATATATACAGAGAGCTTCCATTGAGGGATCCCTCAAATAAGCTTATTTGAGGGACACCGCTTGTATGGCCTACTCCGGGTTGTATTTCACTAATCCAAACCGTCTATTTTGTAGAGACACATTCAAAGATCATCTCTACAAAAAATCACTTGAATCTGATATCAGTTGACCATTCAATTGAGTTATTGAAATTTTAGTACTTTCTTGAAGCACCGTGTTCATTGATTTTGTAGAACACAATTGAATGTCGAAACGGTTTCCGATTTGTCTAATTTTTTGTAAGGATGATCTATGAATGAAGACCTAAAAAATCAATGGTTTGGATCATTGGAAAAAAAATTGTAGGGCACCCTAAAAGGCGTCCCTCAATAGAAGGGGACTGTATATATATATATATATATATATATATATATATATATACAGAAAGCTTCCATTGAGGGATCCTTCAAATAAGCTTATTTAAGGGACACCCCTTGTGGGGCCCACTCCATATTGTATTTCACTAATCCAAACCGTCTATTTTGTAGATACTCATTCAAAGATCATCTCTACAAAAAATCACTTGAATCCGATATCATTTGATAATTCAATTGAGTAATTGAAATTTTAGTACTTTCTTGAAGCACCATGTTAATTGATTTTGTAGGACACAATTGGATGTCAAAATGGTTTCCAAATTGTCTAATTTTTTGTAAGGATGATCTATGAATGAAGACCTTAAAAAATAGATGGTTTTGATCATTGGAAAAAAAATTATAGGGTACCCTAAAGGGCATCCCTCAAATAAAATTATAAGGTACCCTAAATATATATATATATATATATATATATATATGTTGCAACAAGTAGCCAGACGCATGCACATACATATCTCTCTCCATCTTTTACTTTGAGCTAGCTACCTCATCAATTCAGACATGGTGTCGACTTCCTGAACAACATCCTTTTCTGATCCATCCACAATCTGCGATTCTTGCTTAATTAAGGTATGAATGAAAAGAACTTTACTTCATACTCAATTCATCCTTAATTTAGGGCCCCCATTTTAAGTAGCTAGGTCTCCAAATTACAATTTTATTATATATTATATATTTGTTTTAACTTGCTCTTATCCACCTCCAAACTTTATGTTATGTGTAGGGTTGTTCGCCTAATCCTCTAAATCTTAGTCTCTTTTTTGTACTACTTACCTTCTCTTTAATAATATATTGATGCCATTCTTTTAAAAAAAATAATATATCCACCTCCAAACAAAATGTGTACCAACGGCATAATGTTTTAATATATTAATATAACATATTTTATGTGATTAATAATATTAAAGAGTCAAAAGACCCAGTGGCCTACAGATTTAGTATTTATAAATATATTTAACTATCTTGACCTCAATTCTTCTTCTTTTGGGTATCTCTCCTCATTCGAAATACATTCCAAAATTTTGAATTGGCTTTCTCATCTCTCTTCCCTAAGATACCTCACTCTCGATGGAGTGAATCTTAGCAGCACATGATTTATAAACTTAGCTTTCCAATCTTAGTAGTGATATTTTTTAGGGCATATCTAAAATAATAAATAGTTGGGATTTGTGTTTTCAAGTATTTTGGTGTTTTTTAGTTTAGGTTTTCAAAATTAGGTCTACCAAACAGATTTTTTGTATTTTGGGACTCAAATTCTGTTTTTAAGTTTAAAAGGTTGAATTCAAATAAATACCAAATATGCACCGATCCAACAATCGATTTATAAATCGAAGAGTCGTGGCAAGAGGTGAATATGGCTGTTTTATTTGAAGGGAAATAGTTTCCTCCTTTTAAGGAAATGTGGGCGTCATATTTTCTAGTTTCTAAATATTTTTCAATTCAAAAAATTATTAATTTATTATATCCTTATTTTATAATTTTTTTGTCATGCACTTTGTTTTTTCATTAATTTTTCCACTATTGTGTCACCCAATGAGCATTTTTTTAATTTTTTTAGCTAAATACTTATATATATATATAATTTTTCAAATAATATTTTCTGTTTCAAGGTCACGTTAACTATGGCCAACTAAGCCCCTTTGCCGTTTGACTGTTGACTCATCTATATCAATATCATTATAAACGATTGCAAACATTGTCCACTTGACAGAAGAATTTCAAGAATTTTATTTTATTAGTAAATTTGGCTTACACCCTTCAAATTCAATTTGTCATACCTAAAACCCTTCACTTTTTGTTCCTATAAATAATACCCAATTTGTATAAGTAAAAACCCATGACTAGGATTCAACTCAGCAAGTTACCTAATTAAGCATAAAATCTGATTTATTGTACTTTTTAGATTCCAAAAATACCCCCAACTAAGCCATTATTGCATTTTGTATATTAATGTAGGAATCAATATGGAAACAATTTTTAATTGGATTGTATATAATGACAGATGTTGAATTTTGAAAGATCTCCAAATGGTTGTAATGGATGTATGAATTAATTTTGAAACATTTTTTAAAAAATTTAACAATAAATTCAAATTTGGGTAATCGGTTTGTTTAATAAAATGTTTATGTTATTTTCTTTTTATGAATTATACATGACTAATAATCCACTTTATAATTGTTTATGAATAAAACTATACATACTAATTATGTTGAAAAAATAATGTACCTATTACTTGTTTGTTTTATGAAAAATATAATTTACCTAGTATGAAAAGTGTACATAATTATCTATTCCAATATACCTACATTAATTTTAATGTACTTACAATTAGGATTTAGGTATTATATGTCATCCAATGTACCTACCATTTGAATAATATACCTACTACGAATAAAGTACCTATTATTTATCTAAATAATGTACCTATTTTTTATCTAAATAATGTAATTTATTTTTTTTTCTATAAATAATATAGCCTTTTTTCTCTGAATAAAGTAACTATCATTTGTTTTATTAAAAGTAATTTTTTTAAATGAACCTATTTTCTCTCTCCAAATAACTTACCTATTTTTTTCCTCTAATAATGTACCTATTTTTCATAGGTACATTATTGGATATGTAATTTATTGGATACCTATATTTTATATGTATATATTTATATTATAATTTTCATAAGTACATTATTGGATATGTAATTTACAGATTTTTTTTTGGTTTGAAATTTTAGGGGGCGAGATGTGAGAGGGAATGACAACTATAAGAAATGGGGTGATTGATATGCTATTAATAGGGAGTATATTAATTACAATTATGACAGTTAATGAAATGCTTGAAATAAATTATAAATAAAATATGAAGTTTAGTGGCAACAATGTAAAAACATAGAAATACTACGACCTCTTATATTCTACTGGTAATTTAAATTTGAAATTGGGTTTTACACATAGATTTATAGAGTGATGGGTATATGTCTAAGAAATAGAAAATGTATGGATCTATATTGGACAAGCCCTATTTTATTTGCAAATTTATTTAATTTCTAGCTCCTAGTTTTGAGTGAGCTTCTAGTGTCAAATGCCACTTCTACTCTCTCTCTCTCTCTCTCTCTCTCTCTCTCTCACTCTCTCTCTCACATTGAGCTTTGAAAGCAGGGCTCGACTTAGAGAGCATCAATCGCTCACCGTACTTATCTCAGAATTTGGTGGCTTTTTTTGTCAGATAATTTAGTGGCTTTGCTAAGAATTATTTGGGGATCTGCCAATTTGGTGGTGCGCCTAGCAGTTGGGCCCAAGGTGCGGAGGCGTGGCGGCATGGCTCTGAGTCCGATTAATCCAGGTAGAGAGACTGAATAACAATAGTAATATATATTCTGGTCAGGTCAATGTCTGTCAAAATTTATAACAAGAAGTTTAAATGTGTTGATGACAGGGAGAAAGATTGATGAGAATCAACATTTGAATCACCAGCATCCCATGATGGAAGTGCAGAGGAAGAATGATGGTGAACGTTTTTACTGCGATGGGTGCGGTGACCCAGTGCTTGGGCCTAGCTACACTTGCAACATTTGTTACAATGGTGGCTTCAATCTCCATAAATCATGTGCCGAGCTAACGGGTGAGATCCACCACCCGATCCACCGCAAGCACCCACTTACTCTTGACACAAGTGACAGGGAAAAGAGTTGCAGTGCATGTCATCAACATTGCATCTCGAGGTTCAGTTACAGTTGTTTCCAATGTGAGTTCAACATTGACCTCCAATGTGCTTCCAATTGGCGCAACATTCTTGACTTTCATGACCACAAATTCACCCTTCATAGGAAGCCAGCGCAATTACCTTGTGAAGTCTGCGGCGAAGATAGGGTTCGTGGTAATATTTACAATAAATATAGCGCCGCCATGTACCTCTGCAGCATCTGCCAGCTCCTGGTCCATGGATGTTGTTCTTGGTTACCAACCCACATCAAAACGGCCCAGCACCAACACCGCCTAAAGCTCACCTGGTGGTTTGAAGATACTTTCCCGAAAATCCAAAATTTCTGTGACCTCTGTTATAAAAACATGGACAACATCCGTGCAGTTTATTATTGTGAACATGAATGTTGCAGTTATGTCGCCCACAATTACTGCGTAACACTATGTTATGAGGCAGTTGAAGATAGTGCTGCTGCTGATGATGATAGAATAATCAACAATCAAATTCAGTTCCAAATCGATCACTTCAGCCATCCACATGTCTTAGCCCTCATCAATAGTGATCATCAAGATAATGGTGATGATGATAATGATAGAATAATCACTTGTAATGGCTGCATGCGACCCATCACCAAAATTGATGCCTTTTATAGCTGTACAGAACAAGAGTCGTGCCCTTTCTTTCTACATACTGCTTGTGCACAGTCACCTAAAAAGGTGCTTTTCCCATTTGTTACTGGCCAGTGTGAACTCCATCCTAGGGTTCATTCGATTGGTGGGGTGTTCAAGTGTTCGATGTGCCGAACGTTTGGCCAAGGCTTCGTATACTTTGAATTTAATAATCCATTTTTCCACTTTGACCTTCACTGCACTATTCTATGGAAGCAGAAGGCTCTTAAACATGAGGCTCATGTTCACACCCTCCAGTTCAACACATCACTTGAAAGCAGTTATATATGTAGGGGTTGTGGCACTTCGGGAAATTATTTTTGGTTCAGTTGTAGGAGATGCGACTTCCATCTCTGTTTTTCATGTGTTAAATTACCTCCTACAGCAAGACACAAGTACGACAATCATCCTCTCAAGCTCACCTATGACAGTGTTAAAAACGAGTTAGATGAATATTATTGTGAAATATGCGAAGGCAAACGAGATCCCAAACTCTGGTTCTACTCCTGCTCGGATTGTGACTTTGATTGTCATCCTCATTGCATTCTCGGGAGGCATCCGCAAGTCAAGTTAGGAGATAGTTACGAGCATCCGAATCACCCACACCCTGTCACCCTTGTTGAAAAGAGGAGGAGTGAAATTCCTTCCGATAAGAGAGAGCGGATTCTTCCTTGTAAGAGGTGTGGTCGACCTTGCAAAGGATTGGTGTTTGAATGTTCTGAGTGTAATATAAATTTCCACGTAGAATGTCTTGACTAATTCTAATATTTAGTGGAAATTTTAATGTCTGATTTTTCAGATTAACTGATTCTCGTTTCATATTTTGTACTTACAGTCTAAGTTTTAAACATGGATATAAAATTGTTAGTTACAGATATGGTCATGTGCATGTTAAATATCGCAAACTTCCAACAAAACTCTTGAATATTTCAGCTCCATCTTCATACTTGGACAACTACACTCCACATTCCAGCGGTGTGGGCAGAAATGACGAAATTCTACCTTCTTTCTAGAGGTGATAGTCCAAAGTAAGTATGTTCCATATAAGATCGAAGGCACAACTATGTTCAATTGGCTTTGCATAAGATCAAACCCAAACTGAACACAACGTAGGATCCTGATTACATTCGACGAAAGCGAAACTGGTCCGATAAGTTTGACCATGCAAAAGCCTTAGGCTCTCTTTGAGGTTCTCTTTCTTTATAAATAAATAAATAAAAGAAAGGGATAATCTCCTACTTGCGGTTGAGTTCAAGAATCTTCGTTGTCATAAGAAGCAATCAAAGCGACTCTTCAGTGTTAATTAGTCATGTCCACTCCTTGTTGAAGAAGACGAAGACACAACAACTTGAACAAAATTACTATAAAAATTCAAAATCCCATTACCTATAAAAGCAAGAAAGCATCAGCGATGTTTTATTGAGAGAGCGAGCTTCCTTCCTTTCTGTCTCTCTCTCTCTTTCTTGTTGCTATAACAGCTACTTCTACATTTCTATCTCTTCACAGCCGTTGATTTGTTGATCCGTGCAGAATTCGCAGTTCATCCTTTCCTCTCTTTTTTATATTTATACAAATAATACTGTGGATTCTAACACATGATCTCAATGACAAGGATAACTACTCTTAAGCACTTGAGCTACAAGTCTTTTGCAATTCCCAGTTCATCCTTAATTTAGGTAACGTACGGAAATACTCTCGTGATATATATATATATATATGCATTTCAGTCACGCATCCCTTGGTTTTTTGCTTAGCGTGCGAGGTCCCAGTGCTTGGCCCAAGCTACAATTGCAAACAATGTCATTTATTTTTATTTTTATGTTTGTTTGAAGTGTACACAATCTCGGCCATCTCTCTGTCTTAAGTTTGACTAAGGTAAGAAGTACATCCATGCATGTAACTAATGGTGGTCTCACATGAACGATTCTACACACATGCAACACAAAACCTCTGATCTCGTTTCTCATAATTTCAACAAAATAATGGAAAATTGGCTAAAAGAGGTATTGAGGACATTTTCGCCAACTCCTTAATGAAAGGGAGAAGGTGAATTTGAACCAAATTAAAAGGAATGCAAGGGAGCTCCAAAAATATCCTCCATGACCAAAAATCAAACGAAACAACTAAGTTTCTTGGAAACCGGTGTGGCATTTGCCGAAGAGGCTCTAATGCCCAAGTTACACTTGAGAAATTCAGGAGTTCCAAGTTATGCGACTTCAAATCATGTAACTCAAATAGTTGAAGGCTTTTGGATTATATGTGTCTTGTCTTATCATAAACTGTCAATGGCCATGGATATATATTTTGTTAATGGTAAATTTCGAAGTAACGTATGTCAGATAAGAAATATGCGCCGGCAAGTTTCACTAGTTAACTTTGGATGTCATTTGAGGCTATTACTTGGATTCAAACGACTCTAATGTTTTGTTAGGTGAAGGTAATGTTTCTAGTTTGATTCTACATTATTTCAAGTTAATTGGACTGATAAAGAAATTACGATAATTTTTCAAGTGAACCTCGTTGATGGAACCATGTTTGGCTGATTTGTAGTTGATTTTGCGGACTACATAATTATACTGGAAAAAAAAATGTTAAACATGGATATCTTCTTGTATGCACAATCTTGGTCAGCACCTCTTCGCCTCAAGCCATCAGCATCAACTAATGAAAGCCAAGTCACTGGTGAATGCCAAAGGTATGGTTAGCAACTAGACAAAGACTAAACAAAAGCTTTGGGCTGCCACGTCTCCTAAAATTTCAGTTCTATATTGCATAAGAATATATTACTAAAAGAAACTGATGTCAAATCCCACAAACTCTGTATAACTGAGATGTATCATCTCTAGCAAGGCTCGGATATATGTTCCCGACATCTTCTTCAGCGTCGCTCATTTGCACCATAAATTTTGGTGGCTATGAATGAAGAAAAAAATAACACCCATGAATTCTAAAACAGATTGGATGAAGAAACACTCTCAGAAAAGAAGGCTGTCAAAAGCGAAACTCATTATTTCACCCTGTATTCTGATTTGTAAGCTATATGGCACACAATGTGGCGCTTTTAATGTGTGCTAGCTGCAAAAACTACACATACAAAAGGAAATTATACAACAGTGCTAAACTTTAGTACTTAACATGTTTGTAATCCAAGACACTGGTTTTGACTAGACTCCTACCCGAAGGGCATTTCATTGTTTGTCCTTCTAAGCACTTCAACGGCCACAATGCATACCCTTCTCGTGGGATAATAGTAGTGTTCCGGTTGCACTAATCCATCTAAAGGGTTCTTGACAATAACCACTGCATGGTATTTCAAAACTTTAGTCGAAGTGACAAAATGCTTCCAAGTTCTCGATGTGACAGTCCAAGTAAGGAATAACTTTGTTTCGTATAGATTGGAGGCACACATACGTTCAATTGGCTTTGTAAGATCAAACCTAAACTGCACATAACATAGGATCCTAAATACACTCGACACAACTAAACATAACACATAGGATCCTGAATACACTCGACAAAAGTGAAATTGCTCAGATGCCAATTTGTTACCTAAGCTTCAGCTTTATTTGGATTACCAAAACAGGTGCACGCACGATATCATGTTTAGATCCCCTATGCATGTGCAGAGTATTTGATCAACATCATCATTATTTCCAAGGCAACGTTGAGACCAATTTCATTCAGGCATCTAACCCAATCTATTCCACAAATAGGAACCAAAAAGGGGATGCATATAGATTTCTGTTTTGAAAATGTTTGTTTCCATATTTGTCAGAACATCAGGAGAATGACTATCAATTACACTTACCTATATATTTTAATCATTCAGCCATGTAAATGAAATCCATGACTCTAGCACTGGAAACTTAATAACTTAAAAGAGTTAGTATTGTAAACTAAAAATGAAATCCGTCACCGTTGAACTCACCTGGTTTTCCCTTGTTGAGTATTTGAGTCTCCTCAATTATCATCTGCTAGAAGAGCCAACACCAAACACATCTGTTCACATGTTCATAAGAAGTAATTAGTCTCTGATCTAATCCATTTGCTGTTAGAGAATTCAAGATTATACCATGGAAACCAACTACAAGGCCCATATCTTTAGCTCACATGTTCAAGTAATGCGCAACAAAATCCAGTGAACACTTGTAATCCATTGTGAAGGCCATTATCTCTATTCAAGACTTCAGGTGTATGGGTCTATTTCCAGGTATAAAAGCCTTCAGTTTCATTTTATGAGCAGCCTGAATCGAAGCACCAGTGTATTCTGCTGGTGGAATTTGGATAATTTGAAAGCATGTATACTCCCTCCCTAGCTATTTTCCTTTCCAGGAAAGAGAAACGAATATCCCCAAATCTATTTTCCTTTTCAGGAAAGAGAAATGAAGAATGAAAAATGAAGGCAACCTCATCTAAGTTCAAGCAAAATGAATGCTGTCAGAGAAAATTTTTGTAAGGCTAACGAAAATGTCTGTGGCTAGTAACAAAAGCAAATAGCATGGCACAAGTGAATATTTCAAAACCTCACAATCAAAATCATCCGTTCGCAAAAGAAAGAACTCAGAATTTATAGAAATGTAAAACATATAATGAAGGCAATATAAGGAATGATAGGTGAACCAACAAAGCCCTTCTCCATGCTTCTGATTTATCCATTGATGGCAAAGAAGGTGCGCAACTATCTCAACAGCAAAACTGAACTCATTTGCACTGAACACCAGCTTCAGCAGCTCGGTGAGGCTTGTTTTTCCGCCTACTCCCATTTTGTCGGAATCCAACAGACTTTGTCGAGTCATCAAGACTTGATTTTGTTTCAACGTTTTTATCCTCTTTGACTGATTTTATATTTTCTTTTACCTGAGCAGACCTCTTCCTTTTCCTTCCATTCTCTATGGCAGATTGGTTTTTCATGTCTTTGCTAGAAACATAAATTTTTGCATCCTCAACATCTTCTGTCTTCTGAGCTTCTTCTCCTTCTCCAATATCTTCCTTTAATGGTTTATGTGGCCTTCCTCTTCTCCTGTTTGGTGGAATCCTCTCCTCTTCACCACTTCCAGGATCCTCACGAACAGCAATAATGCTTTGTTTCTTCCCTTTACCTCTACCTCTACCCATAGTAAATAAACCTCGTGAAGAAAATTCCAAACTAGAAAAATTTCTGCAAATACAAACAAATGATTTTAGAAGCAAAACTCAAAATGAGTAACAGACTAAACTCCACTAATCAGCATGCAAAGTTTATAATACAGAATACCAGTATTAAGGTATCCACAAGCAGAAGAGGATTAAAGCAAATCCACATCAGCTTCCAATGACTATTAATGAAACCAGTATATATATATATATATATATATATATATATATATATATTTGAGCTAAAACTGAGACCTTTAAGGAACAGGAAAATCCTAAACCTTACCTCAAAAAGGTACTACATAGTACAAACAAAATCAGAAAGTTAAAGTCAATCATGACTGCCTCTTTAATTCCTTACACTATCTTTGGTTTATGAGAAATTCAATTGAGAAGAAAGAAAAATGCAGGCTCGAACCCTTCACCCCTATCATTTCAATACCCAAAAACAAAACTGCATCTTTGATGCTGCCAAGAGATTCTATTATCTAGTGGCTCTGACTTAACTAATTCAAGCATTAATCAAGCCAGTCCAGAGAGTTTGAAAGGAAAATAAATGGAAACACTAGAAAACGGTAATAAAGTATCACAAACCAGCTAAACCCTTTGTAAACTATATTCAACCTGAACAAGGTATTTATTAAAATTTGCAGATAAACAAGAAAGGGCAATCACTTTTGGATCAAACACCATTCTGGCTTCACTTTCAACAATCCAAATCAGTAATTTCAAGTTTGGCTGCTAAAACTTTGCAAGACAGATTACATAAAATACGTTCAATTTGAAACTTACGACTTAAGATGTTTCCAGATTATGAAGCACTAACTCAACCCAAACACGATAATTAGTCTCGTCGAAGTAACTCACTTTGATTTTTCAGGTCCCAAACAGAGAGAAATCCAGGATTGACAAAAGCAATTTATTTTCTTTGTCTACCATTAATCTTCACAGAACAAAAAACAGAAGCACTCATATTAGAAAACCAAAGCGTGACAAAGTACATATGCAACATAGAGAATAGCGAAGCAAAGAAGAATGAAGCTGACCTGAAAGCAAATATCCACTTTCTGCATCTTATTGGAAAAACCCATTTCTCGCAATCTGATGAGAGCAATCAAGAAACTAACAAAAACCCAAGAACCAAATAGGCTGCTTTCTATTACTGGCTTTTCCAACAGTGAAGTAGCAGAAGCCAAAAGAAATTGAAAACTAGGATCTGAATAACAAGTAAAGAAGACCCAGATCAGAGAATCATGTCATCAAAGAGAAACGTTAGCACAAATATTATTGGAGCCTGAACAGATTAATCAAAAGCAATACTGAGCTTTTGAGAGGTTAGCTAAAGAGAGGAGGCAGAGAGAAAGAACTTGAATAGAGGAAGCGAGGAGAAGAAACTGGTGAGAAAGTAGTTATTTTTTTTTGTTTTTTTTTTTTTTGTTTTTTTTTTTTTTTTTTTTTTTTTTTTTTTTTTTTTCTGCCTCTCCACAGTCCGAGGGTCATATGTTGCGAAAATGCAAGTATGTGTTAAATAATGATCAGTATTATATAACTAGCATTAATGTTTTTTTTTCCTCGTCAAATAGCATTAATGCTTAGGTCACGATGGAATCCAGTTGAATCCAACGTGTATATCCTTTTTTTTTATATAAATAAATAAATAAAAATTCACACAACCTCTACGAGATTTACGAAATGATCAGTTTTTATTTTTTCAAGTGCTATTATTTTCACTTCGTCCCATTTCTCCACCCCCTATATAAATTTGAAAAAATAAAATCTTATCTTTTCACCAGCCGTTATTTCTAAAATTCCGTTTAAATTTTAATTCATTTAAAATGTTAAAAATATTCATATCTTATTAATATTTTAATTAACGTTATTCCTAAACTCTTCACCTTCCTCTCACTTAAATCTCTCTCATCCCCATCAACCGTCTCTTTTTCGATTCCTCTTTCCCCATTCCTGGTTTGATCTCCAAAGTCGGCGCTTCACCGGGGACATATTGTTGATCGATAAATTTTTAGGAACCAACCCATATGTATCCTTTTAACTAAAAATCCACCTCTAAATTCCTTTACTTTTTTCTCTTTGAGTACAAGCATAGCTTGCATCAACCTTGGAGGGGGAATCATTTGTGGGGGTTTTTATTTTCCTTCCAACAACAAAAAAATAAAAGCACTCTGCTACTTTCTAGCGTTTTCCAAAAAAAAATTATTTTATTTTATTTGTAATTTTTGATTTCGAGTTTCGGCACACGTCATAATACAAATTTGAATAAAAAGATTGCTATTACCAATCTGCTCCATTAATTTATGTGAGTTTCACTAAAACACCCAAAATGGGGGTTGAAATTATAAAAAAACTCAAGCACTATTTAAACATATAAACACACCAAAAACCCATCATTACACACACTCAAAACCCATTTATAAACACACCCAAAAAGTTGACTTTGGGTGTGTTTCTATGTTTAAATAGTGCTTGGTTTTTTTTATAAATACATGTCTAGGATTGGATTTATTTATAAATTTGTATTAATTTATAGCCAGCTGCTAAATGTTTCTTCAACAATGGGCGAATAATATAGTGAAGAGAGGGTCGAAGGGGAGGAAGAAGAAGAAGGGTAAAGGGTTTGCCAATTAATTGGGAGGAGAGAGAGTGGGAGCAGTTGAAGCTTTATTCATAAAGTTAATAAAAATATTTATTAATGACATATTGCTCCAGATGTCATAACATTATTAGTCCGTAGTTTTTTCCCTAAGTCCTTAGAAGTCATTGTACAAGGTAAATTTGTCTTTAAAATTTTGAGGATAAGGTGGATGGAGAAATAGGATACGAAGTGGAAATAGCAGCACTCCAAAAAAAAATTCACACAACATGTTATAGCCTTTTTTCGTCAAGGATGGTCATTCCAGTTCATTTTGCACTTTCAATTTTATCTTTGTAGTTGAATTTTGTCAATGGGATTAGCAGACATGGGCTTAAGAGTATCTCCAACCGATACGTTAAAAAGTGTCAAAACATTTAACGGCCAAAAATAACATCTTATATCACTACAACTGAATTGTCAAAGCTAATGTAGAATAAATGCTAGAGGTTTACTTTTGATATCTCAAAAGCAAGATGTCAAATAAATATTTTATTAGAGAGAGAGCTGGATGTTACTGTTTTTTTTTTTTTTTTTTTTTTTTTTTTTTTTTTTTTTTTAATCTGAATGATTGACTGTTACAATAATTATTTATTTGACATATTGTGTGAAGTGTAAAATTGTGCAAATGTCATATTGCCACATCAACCATCAAATTTAAATTTGATGTTTGGTATTTGATAGCCAAGTCGGTTAAAGTGGATGTGCTTCTTACTAACAATTTAAAATTTCCAAACTCGTAAAAGATTTTTTTTTAAAACCATTATTTACTTTGTATTGTATACACAATGACCAAAAATATATTTTACTTTTTAAAAAAAGTATATTAAGCTAATGACTTTGAAGAGTACTCGAGAAAACAAAGCACCTCATTTTAACAATAAGAAGGGCTTAACGATACGGATGAAGCAACCTTACCCACGGGTAGAAATACTTGAGTTATGTTCTAGCTAAAGTATGAGTGGAAGCGTTTCTGGTGGCGTCAATAACATTTCTAAAAGGCCATGACCATGGCCATGGTGTATGCCGGTTGCAATGGCCTTCGCTGCTAGGCTTGTAAGCTATATTTTCCTTTTTAGGTAACCAAAAACTACGAAATTTTGTAACGACAAGAAATGGAACTAAAGCCTCAAGTTGGGTCGAGTAGAACATCTAAATCAGAGTGACGGCTAGCGCCAATTGCTCTTTAATCCAATAAGAAATGGAACAAAATAGAGATAGCACATAACATAATCTTCTCGACCTCAAGAACAGTGAATCTGTTAATGAACATGCTTTAGAATGCTTCAAGGCTTCAACAAACTCATTGAGCAATAATCCAACTACCGGCACAGCCAGTTCGAAAATCATGTACACCTTCCCAATAACAATTACTTCCAGGCATTCAATAAAATTTAGAAACGAATGAAAAAGGTGCAAGTAAAAATCTCAACCAAGCTAACAGTTTTCTCTCAGAATAGGCCATTTCCTTCATTCATGCTTTCATGCAGAGACTACAGCAAACATGAGCCACCACTGCAGATCATTGCTCTACCTTTTCATCTGTTTTTGGCAACTCGTGGCCAAGAGTTTCAAATCTGTAAGACAAAATATGGGAAGTATTTTGACAGATAATAGGTCAAATTTCATGTAAACCATGCATGCTATTTCTTTTTACCCCAAGCATTCTCCTTATGCAGCAACATGAAATAACAATAACTCAGGTAAAGCACTGCAACTTTTATAAGACTAAAACCAGATAACTGTTGACCTATGGTAAAAGAAGTCAAACTGATGACATAAGTTTTCAGGGTCATCTCATGATAATAAGCGATTTTAAGCTGAACAACTATTGAATGTGGAAGTGCAACCAGCTGTGGTAAAGTGGCGATGTACTCAGTAAGTCATAACTAACAAGATCTTGCACATCGGAAAAAAAAAGGGTGAAATTAAAAAGAAAAACTGCATCAGATTATAGAAAAAAGCATTAAATGACTTTCACCATTATAAACCGAGACTGATTTCTCTCAGAATATATATATATAAAAGCAAAACAGAGACTGATTTAGCATCTATGTAGAACATGGACGGTCAATTACTTACGACAGGAAATAAACACACACTTACAAGGTACAATAACCTGGTGCTAAATAAACTTTGCTTGTCATATGTTAGTATCAACTTAAGAAAACCAGTAATGCAGGAAAAAAAAACAAAACAGTAAAAGCAATGAATACTTTAGTACTTGGAATAAATTTCGTTCTCCAAATCCTGCCAAACTTGAGGACCACTAGGATGACGATTTACATAATATTTTATAAAATATGTATCTGAGCAAGAAATAATAGTGTTCAAG